CCTCAGAGTGCAGTGGGACTCACTCTCACGCATCCGACTCCGGCGCCAGTGATATCTCGGAGTTGCGTGTCTATTCCCGAGGTCCCTTGGGTCTAGTGAACCTGGGATTCCATTTTGGCCGCGTTGGCATGCGTTACCTAGAAGTGACATGCGTGAGTGCAAGGCTCACCCCTTGCTTTGCAAATGTGGCTAAGAGTGCGGTGGGACTCACTCTCACGCATGCCGCTACGGCGCCCCTGATTTACCGGAGTTGCGCGTCTATTCCCGAGGTCCCTTTGGTCTATTGAACCTGGGATTCCATTTTGGCCGCGTTGGCATGCGTTACCTAGAAGTGGCACACGTGAGTGTAAGGCTCACCCCTTGGTTTGGACATGAGTCTCAGAGTGCAGTGAGACTCACTCTAACGCATGCCACTCCGGCGCCCCTGATTTACCGGAGTTGCGCGTCTATTCCCGAGGTTCCTTGGGCCTAGTGAACTTGGGATTCCATTTTGGGCGCGTTGGCATGCGTTACCTAGAAGTGGCATGCGTGAGTGCAAGGCTCACCCCTTGCTTTGCACATGTGGTTCAGAGTGCGGTTGGATTCACTCTCACGGGTGCCACTCCGGAGCCCCTAATTTCCCGGAGTTGCGCGTCTATTTCCGAGGTCCCATTGGTCTAGTGAACCTGGGATTCCATTTTGGCCGCGTTGTCATGTGTTTCCTAGAAGTAGCATGCGTGAGTTCAAGCCTCAACCCTTACTTTTCACTAGTGCCTCAAAGTGCGGAGGCACTCACTCTCACGCATGCCACTCCGGCGTCCCTGATTTGCCGGAGTTGCGCGTCTATTCCCGAGGTCCCATTGGTCTAGTGAACCTGGGATTCCATTTTGGCCGCGTTGTCATGTGTTTCCTAGAAGTAGCATGCGTGAGTTCAAGCCTCACCCCTTACTTTTCACTAGTGCCTCAAAGTGCGGAGGCACTCTCTCACGCATGCCACTCCGGCGTCCCTGATTTGCCGGAGTTGCGCGTCTATTCCCGAGGTCCCATTGGTCTAGTGAACCTGGGATTCCATTTTGGCCGCGTTGTCATGTGTTTCCTAGAAGTAGCATGCGTGAGTTCAAGCCTCAACCCTTACTTTTCACTAGTGCCTCAAAGTGCGGAGGCACTCACTCTCACGCATGCCACTCCGGCGTCCCTGATTTGCCGGAGTTGCGCGTCTATTCCCGAGGTCCCATGGGTCTAGTGAACCTGGGATTCCATTTTGGCCGCGTTGTCATGCGTTTCCTAGAAGTGGCATGCGTGAGTACAAGCCTCATCCCTTGTTTCGCACATGTGCCCCATAGAGCGGTGGCTCACACTCTCACGCATGAAATGTTTTGTGCTGCCTTGAATTGGCTGCCTTGCAGTTTGAAATCCTTAAACAAACAAAAAAAACAAAAAGGACTCTGCGATTTATGGACACTAAAGATTGCTATATGGAGCTTTATGTGACAATGCAGGTAACTTTCACCAAACTCAACTAGTTCTGCATTATTGTTTAGAAACTTAAAATCCTATCTAGGTCTTTAACTCCTTTACAATTAAAATCTTTCATTTTCCTTCTATTCTTTTCTCATATATTTTTGTCTTTATTTTCATTTTACTTCCAATGTAATTATATTAAGTTAAGAATAGTTTGACCCAATATCAGGCAGGTCAAAATGTTATTTCGCAGGCAGGCAGTAACATTTCATTTTCATCATTTCACACTTTCAACACCCTTTCTTTGCCCTTATTACAAATTATTGTAAATGAACCCACTATTTCATTCAAAGCTTGCTAGATAAATCTACAGCATTTTTAAAAGAAGTCAATGTTACTTTCTGGTTCTTTCTGAGCACTATTATTCTTGGCAGAACAGGAAGCAACTTTTTGGTTACCAAATTGTTTCATTCATCAAATCACTGAGTCAGGCATGGGCATTAATTGTTCAAGGAATGTTACTTAAGGCAACAGGATCTATGATTCAATCACACAAAACTCTCCTCAAACCTTTCTTTGTTCTTTCTTTGGTGCATGTGCTACATTGAACCAACCTCTCCCTAATTTAAAAAGCACTGAACAATATCATCGACCAAACCATTATGGATGGGTCGGTACTGAACTCCCAGATTTCAGCATTAATCCTGAAGCAATTCCAACACCATTGTACTTATTCCAACTTTCCCAAGAATTTTTCTTTTACAATTGATGGCACCTGCATGCATCCACGAAAACAATCGATTTCGTGTAGCTTTTGCCATCAATTTTTCAATTCATGCAAATTCATGGCCGGGAGTTTCTCTCGTGCCATATGGAAATAACTGATTTTCAATAAACTCTTAGGACTGATTTCTAACCAATTTGTTCATGTAACACCGTCTAGGAAAGATTATTACCAAATGATTACCATTTATTACCGAAGCATGAAAGCATGCTATTATTTACCTTCTATCAATTTGAATCTTCGCTTATTATCTAAATTAGAGTTCAATTATATATACTCAAAGAAATTTAATAAGCTTGGCATGGAATGCATCATTGTCTTTCCCAGCTTACCGATCGAGTACTGAGAGTTGTTGGCTGGCTCTTGAGCAAGCAAGCAAGCAAGCAAGCAAGCAAGCAAGCAAGCAAGCAAGCAAGCAAGCAATAAAAAACGTTCGTTCAAGTAGCGTCCTTACAGTCCAGTTTGAAAGGCAAAATATATCCACGATTTAGATGCTTGATCAAACAATCGAACGGCTCTCCAACTTTAACATCAACATGCTCACGCCACACATGCGCAGACGTTTGTTGGTATCGCTTATAAAATTTCATGGTACAGCGTTAGGCCGCTAGACTGGTAATCTAACGATAACATTTCGAACTCCAGCTGTTGCATCCAACCAATATCACATTCCTTTTTTTTTTGTTGTTGTTTTTTTTTTCTTATTCCCCTTCTCCTTAGACACTTCTATACTTCATGTAAGATCGTTTGGATCTGTATTATGTATCTATCGATCGATCATCTACTTTGTTGCTTTGAAAAGTATCTGCTTTCTGTTGCTTTCAAGTCGTCTGCCTCGTGGAAATACACTCAATAGGTAGTTATCTGTTTTATAGTTAGCTCTTTTATAGTACCGATATGAAGCCTACTCAGCTTAGTGATCTCTTTTTCATATTTGCATATTCCAAAGTTCATTTGCCAGCACCCGTAGCCCTTCCACCATATACTCAACTCAACGTAAGTCTAAAAGCAACTGCCTACTCCCATACAACGTCACTCAACCCCTACTCTACAAAACCAAAAGCTCCCTTTGCCGTCCCTCTTTTATTTGCCACTTCAATATAGACAGTTGCTTTTACACTTTACACTTTCCACCTGGCCCCTGTCTTCTATCACTCCATTCTTTGAATGATACACAAGGCTTACGGATTTCCAGGCTTCATGATGCCCTTCCGTCACCAGGAGGCCCTAAATTACCCAAAACAACATCACTGCACCGTTTATTGCTTTCAACTTGCCCGCCATTATATTACTAAAACTTCACTTTGCTACACTTTGCCGCTCAAATTTCACGTCACAATGCCTTTATCGCGTCATCATCAACATACGGGTTAGCTACACAAATTTATTCATTACACCGGCGATCGGCACGCTCAGGGTACAAACCAAAAAGAGGCAACAACAAACAGAAACCGATGAGGGCAAAACCTGGCTTAGAAAAAAAGAACAACATCATGAGGAGAGGCATTACAGTGGTTAAGAGAAAAGGGAGAAACCATACGTGAAATGGAAGAGCAACAACTCAGGGATAGAAGAGAAGAAAGGGAGGCCCAGAGGTATCGAAATGAACACCTCCTGTTGCAGATAAAGGCCCAAAATGAGCAAATTTAATTTTTCCAACATCAAATGCTACAACAACAAATGCAGCATCAGCAACAACACCAAAATCAGCAGCAGCAAAAACAATTTCTAATGTTGCACCATCACATCGTGCAAGTTTTCTTACAACAACTATCAAAGAGAGATTAAGACCACGAGGAAATGTAAATGAGATGAGAGATTTACACGTGCAAATTCAGATAAAAACTTACAACTTCCTTCATCGGTTGGTGTAAGTTTGCATAACAGAATAACAGGGATCGGGATGGAATTTTTAAACAGGGTTTGTTTCATTTTTATTTCAGTAACTTTCCTAACTGATTTTTAACAAAATAAACCTTGACTAATTGTATGGATGCGAGGGAAAAGGATGGAAGTATAGTTAAGTAAATGCTTGACGAGAATCCAGCGGAGCGAAAACGGAATAAAAAGGATAATTCTTTTTGGAAGAGTAGTGGGTTTCGTGCGTACGCTTTACAGCTGTAGGAAAGAGAAAGAGTGAAGTTAAAAGTTTTTATAAGGGAGCTGAGTCCGGCGAGATCTGCTTACTTGGCCTTGTGATGTGTTTCATCCCAAGTTCACACAACATAACACACGTTGTGAAAGAACGCCAGCAAGTAAACTTGGCCAAACATGTTCTTTTCAGTCTGTAATAAACTTGTTTGCGGTACTTCATCGGCGAAAATGGGTTAGGATTAGTATCTAAACATAAAGGAAGATAAAGCGCGGCAATGAATTCTGAAAAACTGAAATTTCGGGTACTGCCGCCTGGTGGGAGCAAAACAAGGCCTGTTTTGGTAAATTTTCTGTGTCTTGGCAAACTGATGTCTGTTTTGGTAAAAGTTTTGTGTTTGACCCTTCTGTGCCAACACAGATATCGACCAATCAGCAACAAGATGGCAAAATGAGGAACCAAGCCCAGTGTGTGATAAATGAATCCAGACTGAGATGTGATAACAAACGAGAACAAAATAGTTTGAAGCACTTGCCTTTATTCTCATATAAAAACACTGAGTTGTCTTGTCTAGCGTGTAAACCTTGATATTGAATAATAATTNGTAAATGGTCTACAGGAGGACAGACGTCTAAAGGACTTCATCATGAATAATTTTTGGCTCATCTATAAAACAAGTTGATTCCGTGGGTCTGTTAAAAAATAGGTCACTGAAGACGTGATAGAATGTGGTGAGAACAGTGACCACCTGGCTGCGCGTCACGTGTTACTTTTTTAATTCTTGGTTAGTTTTGACCTTATCTGTGATCTGTTACTAAACAGACGCACGGCAACATGGAATCTATTTTCTTAAGTAGAGAACGTGAGCCAGTTATTTCACTGTTAAATGGCAAGTGATCAGTTTGTTTCCCCCCTTGTAAACCAATGCTTTCTGTGTGGGTCAAGCTTTAGCTGAATTGCACGGTGAAATATCAGAAAGAAGGGAAATACAATAAGCATATTTCACGTTTTAGCTCAATATCACTTACTCCAAGAACATGCACTCGGCCGTAATATGAACTGAACTTGTGGCTTAAATTCAAAAGGAAACAGCAGATCTGAAAAAGATTGAAGAACAGAGCAGCAAAAATGAAACAGTTATCTTGGCGACCAGTCTCAAGGAATATCACCTATTGGTTCAAGTACTCAGCGTATAAAAGAGATGCATATTCTTATTATAAGTTGAGGATGTCTAAAGCATGTTGTTCTAATCAGCCCGAGCATGATTAAACTGAGAAATGAAGAATTCCCTTTTTTTCATTACACACCAAACAATCTCTTCAGTTTCTGAAAAAGACGCAATGAAAATACGATAAAAAAAACCAGTTTCTCTAATAATCATCATTTGTTCCACAGAAACTGCAATCATGGCCTTCCTATGGCTTAGATTTTCAACAGATAGTGATACAAATAAATGTGAGTAAAAGAACTCCTTTTAGTGCGTGTACCAAACTTTTTATTCTAGACTAAAGAATTCAAAATTAACAAGTACAGTATGAACACCTCATTTACTGAAACACACAACATACTGACCTTATTTGACTGAATAGTGACATTTTGTGACTTTGATTTAAACACTGTCAGTCCAGCGACAGCATCCTTTATCACAGATGGAAAAGCAACAATATAGTGTAATGTCAGCTCCCATTCAGCCTGTTTTAGAAAATAAAGAATTATATAGCTGAGAGGGAAAAGTGGGACTCACTGAGACAAAATCAAGGTACACTTGATAAACAGACAAACAACATGCAGATTGTATGTTGACTTGTAAATTTGTGTTGCAACATCCAAGGTCTCCTAATCCCTAACGCTACAGCTCATAGCTCCATCTTTTACAGGTAGAGAGACATTGCGCTTTCCATGCTAAAGAGGTGCAGCCCCAATGATTCCAAGGACCTCTTGAAGATTTTCTTCAATACACAGCACCACAGTTTTTATCAGTCAGTCACTGACCTGATCCCGCAGCAAGCGAAAATCCACCTCAGTGACTGGAGGTAGTGCTGGATACACACCTGACAGAATTTCAAAATCGTTAGTAATAGGCCAACCTTTTGACGTCTGGAATGATCACGTGAACAGTGATCACTCAGTGGGGAGTTCAGAGACACAGTTAACGGTTTGCATAACCGTCAAGAATTCTTCTAATCCCTGAGTCTTCAGATTAGGCTATGTAAATTTGATAAAGTCCTCTATTGCTTTTATAAAATATTTGTAAAAAATAATTCAACAAAGAAAGGGTAAAATGACAACTAGTTTACACTGTGAATCATGAATTGCTTTTATCTCGCTTGTCGACATGCTAGGGACTTTGTGGATCGGCCCTTCGCTTGAGATAATGTATTCTTTTGAATTTTGTACTGGAGAACGAGGCCAGAAAGGGTAATTTAAATTTAAACAAAAGAATATTAATCCGGCAGCCATTTATGAAAGTGGTCTATGGTTTACCTCTTATTTGACCAATCGCGCTCAGTTCGTGAATATTAATGGCGAACTTTCTCAAAGATACGTCATCTCGGAACTGGGGTGCCTCAAGGTTCGTCCTTTAAGGCCCGTTACTTTATCTTTTATACACTTCTCCTGTTGCGGATATTATTCGCCGTCATAATCTTAACTTTCACTTTTACGCCGATGATTCACAACTATTTTTATCTTTTAAGGGTGTTGATCGATTGTATGATTCTAAGCTGCAGCTCGAGGCTTGTATTAATGACATTTGCCGGTGGATGGTTTTCAATGAATTGAAACTTAATCAAAACAAGACTGAATTATTGGTTATTCATTCCAGTTATCGTTCCTCTCCGTCGCTGTCCTGTCTCCGTGTTGGGGATGTTGATGTTACTCCAGTGAAAGTCGCTTCCAATCTTGGCGTTGTCTTCGATGATACTATGTCTTTTAAATCACATATTTCTGATGTTTGCAAGTGCTCCTTTTATCATCTTAGGAATAATTATTTCGAGAATTAGAAAGTATTTGACCCGCGAAACCACAGAAATGGTTGTTCATGCTTTTGTCACCTCTAAACTTGACTATCGTAACTCTCTACTTTATGGACTTCCTAAGTTCCTTATTGCTAAATTACAATCTGTTCAGAACTCTGCTGCGCGTCTAGTTTGCATGACTGGGAAGTTCGATCATATTACTCCGACTTTAATTGATCTGCATGATTGGCTTCCCATTAGACATCGTATTGTTTTTAAGATTCTTCTTTTAGTTTATAAATATCTTAATGGTATGGCCCCGTCGTATCTGTCTGATCTTTTAACTCATCGTAGGAGCTCTTATTCTTTGCGATCTGTTAGTAATGGCGACCTTGTAGAGCCATCTTCAAAAATGCGAACTTATGGAGATCGATCGTTTGCAGTATGTGCTCCTAGATTGTGGAACTCTTTGCTTCTTTCAATACGTACGAGTTCTTCTGTTGACATTTTCAAAAGCGTTGTGAAAACTTATCTTAGTGAATGTTAGTAAATGTAGTTTGCTTATAATTTATTTTTATTTGTTGTAAAGCGCCACGGGCAATTTACTGGAATTGTGCGCTATAGAAATACTCTTTATCTTTATTATTATTATTATTATTATTATTATTATTATTATTATTATTATTATTATTATTATTATTTATTTTCTCACTAAAACCCTTATCATTCATGAAAAATAACAACACTTGATCTCACCTTTCTGGACAAATTCCTCAAAGCTTGCAAACAGTTTAGCAAGCCTGGCACAATTGTATAAAACAAAGGTGGCTTGCCTGAATTGTCTTGAGGTTTCGCTTATGTTAATTTTAACCTACAGACAATAAAGTATTTTTAATTAACAATTTATTACTTTCCTTTGTTCCAAAAATTACCACCAAGACAAGGGTCAGGATATTACACCATGTCAAACATGATCATTATGATCAATATAGCAGGTGAGTCAAACAAAAAAAAAAATACTTTGAATCCTCAGATCTTCCAAATTTATGAACAAAGGACCTCCAGATTGAACAAATACCGTAAATTCATAAGATCCTAAATGAGCCTACAAGTATGTTACATAAATGTAGCTCAATCATAAACAAGTTCATTCAACCTCAGAGGTAAAGCATCCATCCTCAGAATCAGTGGTTCAAACCCTCATTTGGTACTCAGATTTTTCTTTGCCTGCCTCAAAACAAGATACCAGGCTACAATCATCTTGGTGAACATAGCCAACCAAAAACAATTTGATGTCTACATTTTCAGCAAAGGTCCCCAAATTGGCAACATGTGTATGTCCTGAAAGAACAGCCTTGCAATACTCACTTCACTGTTTGGAGCAGAAGAAAGAATTTCTAATTTAATTACAGCCACTGCCATTTCCCGAAGTGATTTGTCCCAGCCACAGCCTGGTGAATAAATAATAGCATCATCACAACTCTACTGATTAATCAAAATGTGTGATTAAATCAACTAAAACTACAAGTTTGATTTTGACTTCAGGCTCATACCTTCAACTTTATTGCCATACTTCACTATATAAGATTCTCGAAGTTGTTTTTCACGAGTTCTGCCAAAGTAAGACTTCAGATTAACAGTGAATCAACTATTTTTTCTGAGAAAAAAATATGATTCCTCTGTTAAAAATAAATAATCACAAATAACAGGGAGTGCATTAGGTGTTCACCTCTCATAAAATACTGTGTCATGTTAAAAAAAAAACAAAAGTCAACATCTTCAGTGTGAACCTACCTCAATAACTCCAAGAAATCAAGATGATCATGAAGTTTTTGCTCATCTTTGTACAGTGAAACCAGCCCGTGGGAGACAAAAAACTATACAGACAAGCAACAAGTTAAAATTGAAGAAACATCAGATATTGAGTTACTGATTACTTGCAAGATAACCTATATGACATTTCAGCTTCCCAAAGGTGTGTTGAATTTTTATGCTATTATTTCACATTTAGTAAACTGCATACAGTTGATGATTCCAAAACTTTCACATAGCCATTTCTATCCTGACCTTCATATAGTACATTTTTTTAGAAAGACAATGTGTAAATTCAGGGTGCTGACATAAAACTTCTGTGATTGTGTACTCTGATTGTTATCCCAGGGTGCAAACCATATACCTTAAGATTCCTGCTTCATTCATTTCTCTGGATTTCAACCAAATATCATGACAGTTACATATCTGGTATATTGTTTCCTTGTTTTGATAATATGGCTCAATGGAAATTTATGACAACTAATTTAAAAAAATTAAGCAAACAATTCATGGTTTTATTGAAGACAAAGCTAAAAAAGGTGAAACATCACAGTCTCACCTAATTTATGCTAGTAGGCTGAAGCAACTACAAGCAAACAAGCATATTATCACTGCTAGCAGCTTGCCATCAGCTCTAACCATGTGTACTTGTCTTTCAATTGGTAGCAGCACCTGCTCACCTCTCCCCTCCCCCACCAAATATATTTGGCACCATCACCCTATACACAAATCCCTAACTAGTAAAAGTATATAAGATAATTTATGATACATATGATGCAAGATCCTTGCAGTAGATAGTGCTATTTAAGCAATAGCGAAAATCAGACCTGAAAAAAATCAGTCCTGTATGGGATTCGAACCACTGACCTCTGCGATACTAGTGCAGCGCTCTACCAATTGAGCTAACAAGCCAACTGGGAGCAGGCTGTTAAGTTGATTCGTAATAAACCCGTGAAAGTGATAAATCAGATACAATGAAATAATTTATGATATTGGAATTCACAGGGACCTACTGGTGAACCACACCCTTGAGATGTACTCTGTATTCAACTTTGTCTACCTGTCTCATCTTGGCCGGATTAGTTGCAGTCATTTGCCAAACTGTACTCATTTGCTGTTGACTAAAGGCTAGTCTACAGCTTGTTAAATGAACCACCATGTCTATATCTCCAATCTGTATCCATGAAAAAAAAAAGGAAAAATATTCAATAACACATCATAATAAAAAATTATGTTTCTGTTACCTATATCTCACACCATAAAGGATGAGTCTTTTATCCAACTTACACTTTTTTCAGCTAAATCCAACTTTGCCACATCAAGAAGAATAGAACTTGTTGGTGAAACTGAAAAGAAAAATAACAAGAACCATCTAAAGAAATATTTCAGCTTTTTTAAAATTATCTTGCTCTTGATAACAAATGAGACTGTACATAGTAACAACTAATGCTCTGGGTGCTTTATTCATCATTGTCACTGTGCTTTTGTATGAAGCTTTCTAATCCATCTGATGGCTGGTCTACATAACAAGTTACTTTTTATATGGTGTTTTTCCTTCACTGCTACTCTAATTTAATTGATAGGTTTTTTGTGTGTTTTTATGGACCAAGACAAAGTCCAGATCCATAAAAAGACAAAAAAAAACAGGCTAATATTCAGATATCTTGACCAAACAAGCATGATAAATAAAATATTTTTTATATTGTAAAAGGATTTGGCTTAAATAAGAATCAAGAATGACTTATTTATTTTGAGAGCTAGGAGAGAAAGCCTATTTTGTTTGTAGCACAGAAAGTGAGATCCATAAAAATGCAAAAAAGACGAGGCTTAGTAATATTCAGCTATCTTGACCAAACAACCTTGGTCAATTAAGTATTTAGTACATGGCAAAGGGTTTTGGCTTAATATGTAATAATCAAGAATGACTTGTTTACTATGAGAACTGGAAAGAAAGTCAATGGTGTTTGTAGCACAATAAACCCACGAGGGTCGTCAAAGTTTCCTTTGTTTTGATTGTTTACGACTACTTTCTGCGACTTCATTGCTGACAGTGTACAAAAGTTATGAACTTTTAAGTCAGCTCCATGCATTACTAATTTCTTGCAAGGTATCAAAGCAGGCAAACCTGTGTGGGCAAGATGGTCCCGTCTTTCCTGCTCAGGTGGCCAATCACACCACAGGATTCACTCAATGTTATTATATAGCTGCCAGCTATATAATAATTAGTTTGAACGTAGTGAGGTCTGTACCAGCGACCGAGGTCAAGATTCTCCCATACAGACCGACCTAGCTCAGTTAATAAGATGTTTATTATATGGCTGTGTCTTATATGCCAATTTTTTATATTCTTTGTACCTTTTTTTCTAGACTGGTCTAGATGCCGGTCTAGATGGGAAAATCTAGACCGCTTTCAATATTGATTTCAGCCAATCAAATTCGTAAACTTGGTAGTTCCCAGTCCTTGTGAGACACAGCCATATAATAACATACAATATTAACTAACTGATCTTATGAAGTTGTTTATTAATCTTATATATTCTGCTATTTATGTAAAATCACCATACCTGACAATTTATTTGGGGTCACTGTAATGTTCCATATGAAAATTTTAAAAATAAAAAAAATTACATCAGAACCTAATGAGGATGTGACAGTACTACTAACATTATTATTGGAGACAGGTATTAGTTATCTATTGGGTACAGTTATAAAGAAATCTGTTGCAGATGGCACTTGAAGTTACACTTTTCAGACAATTTCTTATCTTGATCTATTCAATGGAAGCAAATTCAACTACATACAGAACACCACACAACTCCCCAGCAGGAGCTCAGACCCAGGACCTCTTGATCTGAGGTCTAACTGGCCAACCACTTGGCAACTGTGTCACTTTCTTATTGGGGAGATTTGCCCTAAATTTCAAATTAATTTTTTTTCCCATTGGACCAGCTGGATTAAGATTGTGGAAAAACCAAACAATCATTAAAAGGTTTTAAGTTTTCAGGTATTAAAGATATCAAGAATAATATCATATTGATATAATTAAATGTAAAATAGCATCACATTCAGGATAGTGGAAAGTTTTAGTGAAAAAACTGCTTTGAGTCTTGCACTTCTGCTTTTGTTTGAATGAAAGTCACAGAAGAGCAACATGTAATACTTACCTGAAAGCAGCTCATTATCCTTGCAAAAGTTGGGCAAATCCAAAATCACCGCATCACAATTTAAATCAGAGTCTTTGCATGTACAGTCACTCTTGCAGAGATAATTGCAACTCGGCTCTGCCTCATCGGTGGCCTGCATTTCAGTCTTCTTGTTCAAAGAGTCTACATATTTGCAGCATTTTAGTATTTTATAAAGTTCTTTAGCTTTAGCAGTAAGGTCTTTTTCTGTCCACAAGCTGATTTCCTTTGATGTAAATGATGACAGAGAAAAGAGGTTGTAAGTTTCCTGATGACCCCAAATACTTCCATCCTTGCATGTACAAGTTGGTTGGCTTTTGTAGTCTAAAGCTGATATCACATTGATGCTAAAAAACATTACAAATACATGTTCCTGTTATCAAAACCTTGTCAACTTAAGTGGCACAAAATTATGATTAATCCAACACTCAGGAATGCAAAACCCAGGCCAATCAGTGTACAGTAGGCAGCAGAAAATCTGCTGGCTGTCAGATGATTTTACTTTGTAAATTAAATAAATGAATTCGTCTTTATTAAAAAAAACCATCCGCTAAAATTACAGATCTGATGTTACAGTAAAAATATATATATTCATGGGAAAAATTGCATTGATTAAATCGAATAAAAATGATTAAAAGTGATTAGAAATACATATGGGGTGTTTACACAGCTAGACTATTTATGTATATATGTTTATGACTATTTTTATATAAATTGTTTTCAAATACAGAAACGAAGAATTTTTTAACTGATCTTAACATCAAAATCTGTCTCTAAAAGTTACTCTAACATGATAATCGTCCCAGAATACTGGAAACCAGGTCTCAGATTTAAATTTTTTCCTAGGAGCATACCCCCAGCCAACTCCCCCACCTACAGGAGCATGCCCCCAGCCTACTCCCCCATCTACTAAAGGGGTACACTGATTTACTACATACCATGCTTGTTTCACAAGTATCATTCAATTCAGCCACCAGTACTCATACTGATCATACAGCTATCATAATTATTTTCAAATCACAACCCTTGGGTACATTAAGCTTAATGAGATATTTTACATTTCAAACTGAAAGGAACTGTACATACCTATTTGCATTTAAAAGTTCCTTAATGTGTTCGCATATGAGAACTGTTCTCATTTGATCAAGATTTAAATGGCCTTCATCATCTACACGAACTGACATTGAGGGATTCAATAAAACAGACTGAGATGTCTGTTTGCTTGACTGTCCATATTGATCTGTTTGTTTCACAATATTATTGAACACAGCACTTGTCAGATCTGACTTGTAGAGACTTAACAGAAGATGGCCACCACTTGTTACACAACACTGTCTGACAAACTGAACTTTAGTCACCTGATGAATTACCCTCTGACAGAGACTTTGAAATTCAACCTAAAATGCCAAACACATAACAAAAATTCTCCCACCATTAGCCAAGACTAATAGATACTGCCAAAATATGTTTTCCTACATACATCGTTCTGTTTATTCACCTATTACTCCAACTTATCAAAAGTCACCTCACTAATTAAGTTGTAAGAGATTTATTTTATCTCTTTTGGGAAAAAAGTGGGAAAAATTAAAAGCTAAAAAAAGTTTTCCTAATGTTTTTAGTCATGGTACAGGAGGTTGAAAGAGAGAGTTATTGCAGTGAACCCAAAACCAACTGATATCTGTTAAGTAATAACCCTACATGATAGTGTGGGCTTCCTGCATCTAAAAGACACTTATGAGGAACAAGCTTGGTGATCAACTGTCTATGTTTACTTTAATACTAACGTTCACTTTTAGTGTTATTTACAAACCTTAGTTCTTGGAAGACTGCAGACAACAATACGCTTGAAAATAATAGAAGACAACAGACCACCCCACTCACCCTTATCTCTTCTNATAAATAAATGAAAACCAAGGTAACACCGATACCATTGCAAGTATTTTTCCAGGGGAAAAATTACTTGTTACACCTATGGAAAATGTTAAGCCCTCGATCAGCCCCTTCCTAAAAGTTAGCGATAAAAGAAAGCAAATTTCACTACCTTGCCTTCGCCAAGATAATTCCGCACAAAAGCTGGAATGATTAGATCTCCATTTTCGAGTTTCTTGTTTAACTTTAGAAAACATGAATCGAAATTTGTTTGATTCAAACTATCGACTGTCGATAAGGCTTCACAGACCAAACGTTTCATGTACGGCAATAAATCACTAAATTCGGTTTTTCCGTTGTTGACAAAGTTCCCCTCGTATAGTCCTTCGAACTCCCCGTCCGCCATGTTGTCAATCGTTTTGGCTATGGTGCCTCTCCTGATGAAAAGGATGAAAGTGACTGTAAGCTGGTTAGAGCACAGGCAGCCCAAGCGTACCGTGTGTGAACCCCAAATAATATTGAGACTGAATTTTGGAGGAAAATTCGTTCCCTGACGAAGGAATTCCACGTTAAATTATGCTTAAAAGCCGGTATCGCACGAAACGTGAAGCGAGGAATATAACGTGTTTAGTCTCCTAACCTTTACTCTGTTGCCGCCTTGTCGCTTACGGTCGTTTTAACGCTGTTTTGGCGACTTCCTTTGGCATAATTTCTGCCAAGTAGCAATGCTAACATAATTCGCATATTTTGATAATTATCGGATCATTTTTGATGCTACAATTTGATCATTGTTCATCTCTACTCCCAAGCACTTGGTGACGTTATTCGATGTTTTAAGTTTTAGTTCAAGTAGTAGCATTTGTAGTTCACTGTGAATCACTGAGCGGTATTTGAAATGGTCTGAGCCCGGGTATGGGGTGCACCGGAACTAGAAGTCGCGATGTAGGCCATGTATAGTCATGTTAACATGAACCACATGTTTATTTGAATTTCATTGTGGATTTGTTGCGTTTCTTTCTTGTAGACCAACGGCTTCTAATTAAAAAATTAATTTTTTGGACTTCTTTGTAATTTTTTCAAAGAGCATAATTTAAAAAAATAAGGGGCATCATTTGGAAAAAAAAGCCTAATTTTAGCATAATTTCGCCAAAAAAAGCAATGCTACCAGCATAATATGTTACTTTTACTAGCATAATCTATAAAAGCCTAGTTGTGCTACTCTCTCTATATATATATGTATATATATATATATATATAATATATAGCTGGGCCTTTTGGGCCTCATCAGTGCAGTGCTGACTCAAAGATGGGGGTGAAGCTATAAAGCCACCCCAAATGATTCCACATTTGTGGTGCCATTTAAGCCATGCCAGAGTTCTCAAACCTGGAAACTAGTGAGCTTCTTAGTTTGTAGTTTTTAAAGTTTATCTGAAGAAGATTGAACAGCTTAAATGATATTAAATCTACAGTCGGACCAGTTAGAAGTTTATACCACATTAAAATAATACGCACTCTTGAAAATTTTTTATTTGCCAAACGTAAATGAAATAAGACAATAAAACTACATTTGACATTTCCTTTCGTTCTTAAAACCTGAGTGATTATTTTTCCAAACCCTGACATTTTTTGTGTGATAATTTCTGCGGGAGCTCACGTTTGAAGCCAAGCAACAAAACCTTCGCATATCCATTCAACCCTGAGTAACCTTAGCAACCTGAGTCTGCGGGAAAAATGTACAGACAAGCTCATGCAACCGAACGCTTGATGTTCTATCCAAAGGGTTCTACTTACAAAGGTTCATAGGTGGGTCCTGAGGCTCTACACCTTTTAATCACCATGATGTAAATACAACTATCATCTCGAGTCGTTCATTTGATCAACCTTTACGAAGATTCTTTTCAAGACCTGAAACCCAAATAATAAGGAGAGGAAAAGATGAAAACATATAAGGAGCCAGCTGGGTTGAAAAAAGAATTCTTTATATCTCGGACACTATTTCTGTGATCAACTTCGCAAGTTGTCAGAAAAATGTTCCATCATTATTTTTATGAATATAGATACCATTGTTTACCTACTTTATTTCTTGTCAATCATATCAGTGGAGTCAGCGGTAAATTGTTCCTGAGCATTACAACCTGTTTAACTTGGTAACACGTGAAAACAGTCTAAATTGTCCAGTTGCGGAGGAAGGTGAGTTGTTAATATACCAAGCACCTATAGAGAAAGTGATTGTGTCTGCAAATATTATGTAACTATTGAAGACTTAAATTGAATGTGTCGTTAGTATTCGCTTTCGTAGCAAAAATGGCGCTCGATATCATTAACATTTCACAAGATGGATATCATTACATTAACAGACCCCGTGGCTGTTTCGGGGAGCAGAAGGTCGATATGTAAAATGTTTCACGATACACGCAGTATTTTTCAGTGTGACCCTGAAACTTACTTTTATGAATAATCTTTCATGTCTTATACGAAAATTTCATATAGTCATATTTCATATACGAAATTCTTGAATCTCATTAGCTTACTGGTGTGTCCGATGACGTTCTCCTTTGTTTAATTTCAAGTTTAGGGCAAGAATTCCAGCTCACATACTTGAACAGTTTGATACACAGTCCGCGTGAGTGCATAGCCGCGCGGCTTTTTTCCGACCTGTTCAAGTCAACCTGTTCGGCTCTATACACATCAGTTTTCATGATTGCGCGAGCGGAGCCGTACCTTAGGGGGGGTTATACAATAAAATTCGCCGTCTTCAGTCAAAAGTATTTTGAAGCTGCAGAAAGAAATTACCTGTCTATCACGCGGCGTGAAATTGATGCTTTTAAAATGACAAAAGGGATCAGTGGATCAGTGGTAGACATTAATGTATGTTTTAATAATAATAATAATAATAATAATAATAATAATAAAATATTTATACCGCGCCAGTAACCTACTGTTCAAAGGCCGCTACAAAAACTTTAACATTAACACTTAAGACAGCTAATATTAATTATAAAAGGCTTTTCTAACTTAGAACCAAGGCACAAATGTTATTTATCTTGGCTTTCACCGGTGACAAGTGATCTAACCTTAAAGCAGAACTTTGTGTCGATTGTTGAGTCTCGTGTTTTACCTTAACAGGCTGAAGAGATGTTTCCCAGATCTCCTCAGTTACGTCATGTGGTGTTCGTTGCGGCCTGTTTGGTTGGTATGTCTTTGCTGGTGATCCTGTGGCATTTCGATCTCACAGGTAATGAAATATTATTCAGACTGTCTTAGGAAGATCGAGATCCGGATAGGGCAGTTGTTAATATCCAGAATAACCAACTTAAAGAGATAAATTGCACTCTGTAATGGATAAAACTGATAGTCACGTTTTTGCAATGTTGTCTGCTTATTACGGCTATCATGATCATAAAATGGAAGTCCTAAAGCTTTGGTGTTGCGTCCGTCCCTTCATTTTACAGTAAACAGGCATGGAAGGAAAAAGGGACTTACACTTATGTCTAGACGATACAGTGTTCACTGTATACACGTCTCCGTAAGCAACTACGAGAAAAGCATCAAATATGTGTCTGAGTTCTTAAAAACCATAATTATTTAAAATGTGTTCCCAAACCGATATACTGGATAAAACAGCTGAATATTTGAATTATGACATAAAGAATTAGCTATAGAACAAATCTAACATGTCATACATTGGGTTTTTATATCATTAGGCATGGCAGGACACGTGCTGCAATGTTCTGGGTTAGAAATTCTGTTTTGAAATTTCTTTCAGATAAAACTCGCAGTAATAGAAGTGACGCGTATCCACTCTCCATTCACAAGAAAACCATAGAAGAACACGCATCCCAGAAGCATAACAATCTCAACAACAATGCATCAATAAAGTTCACAGGTAAACCAGATAAGAGAAGCATTACCGATTGACGTAGATAATGCATAAGCCTGCGAATAGACACTCGTTGGCGCTGCCTAGCATATCAAACACCTCTCGTGGGGTCTGCTAGGGTGGAACCGGCCTGCATTGACCTCTGGCGGCCAGTGGGAGCGGCCATTTGTCTTGCTTGGGAGAAGCCCACGAGATGCTTTAAAGAACTTGTTCGCGCGCTCAAGACGCAATTACACTGAGGAGTTTTTTTTTCGAGGGTCACTTACCTTATCGTAGCAAAGGCTGATTAAAGCAAGGTGTGTTAATGTTTCAATTGACTCAGGAGTCTTATTATTCACCTTGTAAACCGGTTCACAATTCTGATCACCCAGTTCCAGACATTAATTATTTTTTCGCTCTGTCTGATAACTAAATTGCTAGAACAGGCGAAGTTTTTAGTTGCCTTTTCAGTTTTTGAAAATGTTTTGTCTTTCCTTCTCTCGCAGAAAAAGTAACAAGCGAAAAGAAAATGTATGAACACGTGCACACGCTGTTGCTGTTTGTTGGTTACTCTCGCAGTAGGCACAGCTTAGTTTCCTCATTACTTGACGCTCATCCTCATATGATAGTTGCAGATGAATCGTATGCATTGAGAAAATGGGTTTATAATTCAGCATGGAAAACGGAAAAATCAAAGTACGAATTCTTCGACACAATGATGGGAAATTCCGCGCGGTCTGTGAAAAGAGGTCGAAGGTCTCGCCAAGCAAACGGAAGCGCGGCAAATTTAAAAATCTTCGGTTACAGTGTTCCAGGTCAATGGCAGGGAACATATGATCGATACATACAGGTAAAATGTTGGCCAGGTTAACCTAAAATTTTTCAAGTTCTTCAGTGAAAAAAAGACTAATCTTCTCGAACCATCACTATTGTTGTATTCAGGCCTAAACCTCGAGGCTTAAACGATCATATCTAACAGTTGTAGGCTGCTATTCTTTGTCTTAATCAAAATGCTTTATTTGCAAAGTAGATTTGAATCATTTTGAAATCCTGTGAGCTCTTCCTTAAGCAAGTCAATCATAGTTGAATATGATATTTGGGGTTTTATCAACTAAGTTGATAGTGTAAATTGGCCGCCGTAAAGAGTTTCAAAAGCTGACATTTCGAGCGTTAGCCCTTCTTCAGAGCGAATGGAGAAATTGTGGGTTGTGTGAGTGTGTTTATATGCGAAAAGTGGAGCTACGCGAGAAAAGAAGAATAAATTAGTAGAATGAAAAGCGTTTGTTGGTACCATGGTTCGGCCAAAGGGTCGAAGACCAATTCGTTATCTCAGTTCGTTTTACAAACAAACTACAGGTGATTGGAGACAAGACAGCTTGGGACTCTGCAGTAATGCTTCGTCTGCATGGAACACAAGCCATTTATGAAATGAAAAACAAACTTGGTGTAAACATTAAGTTTATTCATGTTGTTAGAAACCCATTTGACAACATAGCCACATTTGTTCTTCGACACAAGCACATCCAAGCTAGGACCGCTGACTTAAATATCAAGGTATGCATATTTAAATAACGTGCCGAAGGTCAACAGTGAAATGAAGATGTCGCCATTCGGCGGGGCTGTTTCGGCCCAAACATAGATTATTACAGCAAATAGTCTGATTTTTTAACAAATTTGCGAGTTATTGACATTTTCTAAGCATCATTTTAGTGAGCTACAGCTCAATTGAATAGGAGACAATTCAAATAAATAAATCAGACATAAAACAAAATCTATTTATCTGCATCTACTAAATGGATTAACTCAATTCCAAGCAGATCAATGCCAGTGAAATTTTAGACGAGAAGATACAACTTTATAACAACTGGGCAGAAGGAACCTTTGTCGCCCACAAATCTTTTCCGGAAGACTTCCTGAGTGTTGTTAGTATGGATGTCGTAAAAAAGCCAACGGAATCACTTAGGAAAATGTGCCATTTCCTTCAAGTCACCTGTTCAGACAGATTCATTCAGGACTGCGCAGCCATAGTGGACCCAGTCCCCTCGATTACCCGTCACCGCATTATATGGACGGAGAAGCAGATAAACAACGTTTATGCCGTAATAAGGGCGTTCCCGGCATTCTTTGAGGGATTTACGTTTGAAGACGTATGACATACATCTTGGAAATAATAGGCTGATATATAGTTAAAGAAGGTATGTTTCTGAAGAAACTGTGGTGCTGCGTCGGTAGGGCGTATTTAAAGGTAAATTTGGTTTTATAAACTGGGTTGATAATGTAAATTGACCACCGTCAAGAGTCTCAAAGCTGACGTTTCGAGCTTTAGCCCTTCGTCAGAGCGAAGCGGTTAATGCTCTGACGAAGGGCTAGCGCTCGAAACGTCAGCTTTGAGACTCTTTACAATGGCCAAGTTACATTATCAACCCAAGTGATAAAATCAAAATTACCTTGTGATATATAATTAGTCCTTGAGACAGACAAGTGCAGAAAACACTTTGCTTTCTCGATTATCAAAAATCCATTCAAGTTTTTATACACCAGTTACTCGGCTCTCGATTGTAAGCGAACGAAAGTAAACAAAGTTTTCAATAAAGTTGAGATAGCAAGTTGAGCAAAAGAATCAGGAAGTTCTCTCAAATTAGCAGGGCCCTGATAATAGCAAAAGCCAATAAATCAACTATCTCCCTTTGATAATTGTTAGGAAATAGTGTAATACCCAGTGAGTCAAATTCCTGCAAGTGAAGCAAATCATACAGCTGCACCGGTAGGCGGCAACTGATAATAGTAGTGTAGGTAGTCTGGTTGGCGAATCCCGCGCGGCCTGGGTCCGAGTGAAAAAAGGTGGTGGGTGTGTATGTGGGTAGTGTGCACATACACACCCCCCACCTTTTTTCACTCGGACCCAGGCCGCGCGGGATTCGCCAACCAGACTACCTACACTACTGATAATTGTCAGGCAGGCTATTTATTTACAATCACATGACTAAAAATGGTGAATACGGACGATGTGTTTGCCGTGCGATTGAACCGCTACAAGAACCTCTAATGCAATTTGTTCATTCTAAATGCCGATGTCCTATTTGGTTCTGCATCGCTAGCTCTCGAGCGCCGCTTGAATCGCTTGATTTTAAAGAGCGATTTCAGTGCCGTCTTAAAATCTCGCCTAAAAAAAGTATACAAAATAGGGTTTGTAATAGAGGTAGTATATCTAACTAAAATAAACACGTGAGCTGGGATTTCCAGTTCCTCGACATCGTTCATTATTTTGTATAATAGCATCACGATATACCATGGTAACCAACAAAGGAGAAAGATTGTGGCCATGGTGACAAACAGAACCAAGCACCTTTTCTCGAGGGCGGCTTGTCGACGAAGATCACAGACTACCGGTTTCCAGAGCAATAAAGTGTTCGCCGACGGTTTTCTCTGCTTAAAAATTGCCTTAAAGATGACGATAAAAGCGTAGATCATGAAAGCATATGGCAACAGGAAAACGGCAACGAGGCAAAAAATGACATGTCCCTGCCTCAATCGCGCCTGTATCTTCAAATCGCTAATACTTAGCAGTGCAAAAGGACTAGAGGCGACAATGATAGACAATGCCCAAACTACTTCAAGCACTTTACAAACTGATTTTCTGGTCATCAATCGATGCGTTACTGGCCAAATGACCGACAGATATTTCTCTGTTGTGGCGACTAGTATATGATAGCAAGATGATATGGCGGTCAAATTGTTCAGCACACTCACCAGGATGGCCATGTAGTATCGAACCTCAAAAGACTTAATAACTGGTGTGAACGATACAATAATAAAGAGAGGAATATTGATGATCCCTGTCACGAGGTCACAAACGGCCAGGCTAAAAAGGACATAGTTTGGTGCTGTTCGGAGCTTGGTATTCTTTGCAAATAAAACCAGCACCAAGCCATTTGCAATCTTGATCAGTAGCGCGACGGGAACAAGCTCTGCTACAGTTTGAGTGTCGACGCTGTTGTGATTGACTAGGGACGGCTTTTGTACTGTGGCATTTGTGTAGCTTGAAACCTCCATTGTTGGTATTTCAGTGAATTTTTTCTTCTGCAAAGTTCATAAGTGAGTTATTATTTCAATTAACAACTCTTAAATGAGGTTGGATGAAAAATAGTGAATAACCAAGGTGAATCAGATGTATTATTCTAAGAATATATGAAAATCATATATTTGAACTGAGGATAAAGAAACGCGTATGAGAACTATCTTCGCAGTGAGGAGCACTGTTTAAGCAATAGTAAAATTAAGACCTGAAAAAACAATATTTCTGGTCTTAATCTCACTATTTCTTAAATAGTACTCCTCACTGCGAAGATAGTTCTCATAGGGGATGCATTATTGCTGATGTTTAACACTTGTTATCACGATGATTATGATCTGTTATCTTGAAAGCGCAGGAAAGAGAACTGAGAGGAGGAGGGTTGAATAAAAACTATTCAAAAAATTGTTACAGAAACTACTCAATTGGCACCTAAATCAGCCCGCTTAACCATGCGTGATGAGTATGTTATACCCCAACCTGATTAACCATGCGTGATGAGTATGTTAAACCACAGCCTGATTAACCATGCGTGATGAGTATGTTATACCACAGCCTGATTAACCATGCGTGATGAGTATGTTATACCACAGCTTGATTAACCATGCGTGATGAGTATGTTATACCACAGCCTGATTAACCATGCGTGATGAGTATGTTAAACCACAGCCTGATTAACCATGCGTGATGAGTATGTTATACCACAGCCTGATTAACCAGGCGTGATAAGTATTTTTAACACAAAACCTCATTAACCATGCATGATAAGTATATACACGCAAAATTTGCTTACGCTTAAAATTCAATCCTAATATTCAGGTATTCCTGTTAATGGCCTTAAGACACCAAGATCACACACAGACCACTTGGGCCGCCTGTGGTTTAACCATAATTTCAATCACCAGGGGCTTTGCATTTGACGTTCAAACCCCCGGATGTAGTATTAGAACTCCCTAATCAAACAAGTTAATCAATGAAAGTAGTGAGTACTTGCGGTTTCAACTCAAATGTAATCCTCCATCTATTTTTAAACAGTAACTTTAAGTTAATTTGAAATAAAAGTTTTTAAGAAGTCGATCAGAGGTCCACAGAGGCAGTAAGTGCCCCTATAATGACTCGATCAATTCAGTACAAGACAGAAAGCGACACTATCAGTAAAACATTTTGAAAAATTCATAAAGTAAATGTTCCAATTAGCAACATTTTCATTTCATTCCTCTGGTCACTAAAATACATTTACATCATCATCCATGAAAGCGAGATATGTTCAAAAGCATATTTCTCTGATTCTTTCAATCGTTCATGAAACAAGACAGGTGACAATATTGATAGATTAAGATGTTGATTAATTGTTTTTTACATTAACATACGTTTTGTCTGAGATATTCTCGCTTTTCTTTTTCAATTTTGGACCCAACTAAGATCTCAATCATTTTCATTGGTTCGGGAGGAATAGTTCGTCTTAACAATCATATGACATGAAAGCGACAGGCACAGCTGCTGATGCTGTTATGATAATGGTAAAAATCTTTCTAAACTAAATTTTCACACGGTGTTAGCAATGACCCAAAAAAAAACTCACATTGAAAGAGCGGATGAGAAGGTTAACAAAGGACCGATGAAATGAATATCCTATATTTAAGAAAATTTGCAGTGCCACCTTAAACTTATCAAGGACACCTTTAACTTAAATGACTCTGACCTCTTGTTAAATATAGAAACTAAATATTCGAACACCATATTTGTAGAAGACAAACAAAGGTTGTCTTTGAAGCCTTGAAAATCTAAAGAAGCAGTCAGTGGATGAGATAACTGATGTAGACGAGGAATGACGCGGACGTTCGATGGAAATAGGTGAGGTAGTCATCTTGAAGGGTTGTCAATTCATGAAGTATTTCTCTACATTATCTTTAGTAAAAAATCGACGGAAGATTAGACATAGGCTTTACAGTGGATTCTTTTTAGTCTGACAGGTTCGCGATAAAATATAACCAGGTGTCGGCTCAGTGTCCCTTGCTTCAACGTAATCTCATCGCGACTTCACAGAGACTCAGATCGCCTTGGATCTTGGTTTAGCAGGATAAAAAGATTAAATTAAGAAGAGAGAACAAACCCTACGGAATATAGGAAATGTATCATGAGCCACCCTACCTGATCGTCCTGTTTGCTACAAGAATCCTTGCTGTGAATGTTCTCAGTAAAAACTCTGGCTGTTATCAGCACGATTTTATCAAACATTTTTATCGCTCAACAAGATATCTTTAAAATTCATATGTATGATAATTTTTCTGCATATTCAATAAGCTTCCACGAAGAACCCTCCGGTAACTAATGTCTCATCATTTTGGATACCACCTCTACAGATGAAGGAAACAAGCGGGGAGTGATTTGAAGAATAGGTTTTAACACAGACATGACACAAAAGTTTTCAAGTATTCACATTTCCATTGACTACAAACATAAGCTTCTTTTATTTATAAAAGCACCTTGGTTTGAAATGAATATTAATTTTAAAAAACTTGAAACTTGATTTAAGAGTTTGTGAAAATGGTTTCATTTGTTTAACCGAATGTGAAAGCGTAGTGTGAAAGGTAGCGAATAAGAAAATTATTACGTGGTGAAAACCAATTAACTGATGGAAATGTCCGCGAGCTCATTACCTGATGTCTGTTGAAAAAAAAGGCGGTATCCCTTTCCTCCGGTTGGATCGACAAAATTATTGTTTTTATGCAGAAAACATCTGGATGATCAGCACGAAAGCGATAACTATGTGCAAATCTACCTGCTGGGAAAAGCGAGTAAAAAATGAGACCCAATCTAACTGAAAACAGTATCAGTTTAGCGCTTCACTGACCAAAAACATGTTAAGTCGTTCTCTGCCGTTGTTTTGATAACTCTGATAAAAGGTTTATAAGTATGTAAGCTTTCTGTGCGACGAGTCACTGCTATTCTCAACTCATTGTACTGGTTCTACGCGTCTTCAGCCAAGCTTAACAGCAAGATTGCGGTCATTTAGCTTTGCAGTTAATGGCAATGTTCTGACCGAACATCTGCTCTGAGAACTCGATCCGAGCCATTGCTCCAGGACACGTGCTTTGGAAAAGTGTAAAAATTAATCGAAATAACTCTAAGTATTAATCAAAAATGGTAGCTTAGCTCACTTTTTGGCGAGTTGTATCGTGATATACCATAGTTTTTTGGTGCTCAGTGCTTGAAGTGGCATATTCGATATTGTTCTACAAATAATATTAAAGCAACACAGCCTGTTGGTTTCTGAACTCGTTGGAGCTGAATTATTCAGACCAACCGTCTGTTTTCAATAACATAAGATGTCTGGCGTGTTTATCTTGAGTTCTGATCAGACAGGAAAGTTTTGCATTACTTGCATCCTATTTCTTGAACTTTGAGTCCATTTAAAGCTTTTATAGGCTTGAGAGATAATTATAAGGGTTAATCATGCGCTGTGTTTAAACTAATATTATTCATAACATTTCTACCAGAACTATTGATAAATTTGTATCCATGGATTTCTTGGAGGATATAAACCATTGGGAAGCGCAAAGAAACGATCTCTTCAGCTAGAAAAGATAGTTAAAAAGCGGCGGTCAATGCACCTTTAACATGGAATATAAAATTTAAAGTAAGAGTTACGGTAAAACATTCTGCGGTGTTTTTTGGCTCCTTCATCACTGACACTAATCAAGAACTTCTCCACGCAAGAGGTAAGACATATCTCAGATAAATTTCCTTTTTTTCCAACATATTATTCCGCCACACAGATGGACTAAAGGAAAAAGTTCTGGAAAAATTAAATGTCCTAGAACAATCAAACAAGATTTCTATTAACCCATGGAATCAAACTATAAGATGCAAAGAAGGCGGCAATCAGTTGGACTCGGCATTTATATTGTGCTTAGGACTGACATTGGTAGCAGGTTCAAAATGATATTTTTTTTGAAAACTTTCAGTCTAAGATTGAAAAAGAAAAAGTGATGAACAAAAAAAGCCAAGTCATAACTGGCGTTAAATTCCTTCGCGTAACGGTGTATTTAGTCTCCAAAATATCTAATGTAAAATATGAATTTTAATGATCCCAGAGTTCATTTTACTCGTGAAAACACTTATTAGTTAATAACTTTTCTGACAACATTTCACTGGATAACTGTCAGACTCTAGAGTCTCGTCCAATGGCCTGTAAGTGACTAGTAAGTGACATGATGGCATGCTGACACCTTTTTTTTACCCTGCATTGTCGTTCGAACCATTTTACACAGGATAATAGCTGCTGGAAACTTATTTTAAGCCAGACTTGTTTTAAAGACTGACCTTGAAAAAGCAAAGAATCTTTTTCAGATCTCAGTGTAACCTTACCTTACATCTGACTCGAAAAATAAAACTTGAATAAAACCCAGTAAAAGATTCACTGTTTTGCAACACCAAATGAAGGTTTAAAGTTGCTCGTAATCGCTTCCAACGCTCGCCATAAAAACCATGACTGACCCTTTACAGGTCCCATCAAGTATTGGTAACCAACGAGTGTCTTGTGATTGGTTAATATCATTATTTTTGTGACCTGTCATAGCCCCATGGCAACGGAAAAACCAATCAACAATACCGAAACATCAATACTTAGACAGCTCTGTTACCTTTATTTCTTTAACTGCCCAGTAAAGAAGAGGATATCAAAATAGTATTCCTGCAAAGATAAGATCTTTTAAGAGAGTTGAGGTTCAGAACAATATCGTAATCATATATTTGATACCACCATTGTGTCCTCAAACAGTATTTGGTCGTGCATGACTGCGATCGCCCTGCATCTAAACACTATGAGGGGCATTGTCTTTGAGCCAAAGAAATAATTAACAAATGGTAAACACCACAGCGTACACTATTGAGTTATGGATGCACGCGGGAGGTTGCTAAGCACGAGAGAAGCGTAAGAGTCGCTCGAGGCGATAGCCGAGAGCGACTCTAGCTTCTTGAGTGCTTAGCAAACCTCCCAAGTGCATCCATAACTCAATAGTGTACGCTGTGGTGTTTACCATTTGTTTTATAACATAACATTGATACATTGTAGCTAAAGAGTTCCCTTTTATTTAACAAATCTTACGCGACCAGAAAAAACAAGCGCGCGCGTAAAAATAGTCTTTGCATTTGCTCACGTCAGCAGCGTACACCCATGGGCAAATGGGGGACGCTAAATTGACCAATCAGAGCGCGCGCTTTACTTTGGTTATGTTATAACTTGCATTAAAACTGATGTCAGTCGATTCGACCGGCGATTTATGCTGCATTTACTGTAATGATACTTCTCTTCATAAAGTTTCTTTCACGACTTAGGGTAATTTTTGATTCGGAGAGCACTGTATCTTTTAAATACGAAAAACAGCAATAAATTGATTCAGAGATAACCAAGCAAGCAAATGGATAGGGAAGTAAACCAATGTATATAAGTTTCTTCCTTGGTAGCGCTGATTCGTGGCTGTTACCTTTCGAAAAGTTTCTTTTATCTTTCGGGAACAGTTATCGACACGAAATTAATGTTTTCAATGAAATATCTAGAAAGATTGAGGTCTAGCACCTTGACACAATGCTTTATTTGCGGCCAAACTGAAAAGACGCCATATTCGTTTTCCGAATGAGTCACTTGATTTCACCCAACACTAAAACAATCTTTCTACTTTGACAAAAGAAAGGTTTGACAAAACTTTCGCTTGCGTGATTGAACTTGGTAACCGGGGAAATTTATCTAATCTATAGCTCATCAACTTTCATGATACTTCAACGACGAACGAAACAATACAATCGTTTTAAAAGTGAATTTACGTTTGAAAGGAAAATTAGCATTTGAAACCGACAAAAAGTTTGATTATATAATGCAAGATTATTGGGCGCCGGGAATATTAATGTGAAATCGACAAAAGTACTTTCTCTCTGTTCGGCTTCATCAAACGTCTTTCGTTTCCACACAGTGAATTACCAACTATGTAACAAAGAGAACCCCTTTGTTAGTTCTGTGTATGGCTGGTTTATCGAATCAATCAGTAAGCTGATCATTCATGACTGGTGTTTTAAAATTGAATGGAAAAGGATATAGTCAAAGTCCCATTAAAAGATCTAAACCGACTGAACATACAATGTGTCTGTGTTTTTCTTAATCGGGTCTCAGGTGATATTAAACGAATCTCAGCGAAACTAAGAACTGATTTGCGAGGTGACAGCGCTTTTTCTTAAATCCTAGCTAATCAATGAAAACATATGTCTCTGGGGCTCGGTTAAAGCCGTGACGTCGAACTTGATAATTCTATTATGTTTCGATTCCGTCCTCTTCAAAACAAGTCCTTGTGGAAAGCTTCCTGGAGTAATATGATAATACCACATAATTACTTCTCGAGGTCGGAACCTATTCCTATAAGATGACTGATATTAACACCATTGTATTTATGCTGTCCTGGTCGTTTTAGAGATCTTCAAACCGGTGAATTCTATATTAGAAGGATGAATCAAAAGGAACACTCTGGAACAAGGAGATTTGCTAATGGAAATTTTTTTATAAATTGCATATGGCAACAACCGACTCTGCATTCGGCTGAAGACGAGGATAAGAAACAAATTTCACTCAAAGCAGTTTTCAAAAACAGTCTTCTTAAAAAGGTAAAGTTATCAGTAAAAATAAGAACCTTTTTTTTAGATCTACTTGTGTCTACCGATGGTCATAAAAACTAAATATGTTTTTCAAATTGATCACAGAAATTGACATTTATCCTTTCAACCGAAAAAGGCAAAGTTCCATCGCATATTTCCACCACTTTTCTCAAGTAAATGAAAACAGCTCATGAAATGGATAAGCGCACATTTAAAAGGTGACATTCAATTTTCTGTTTCTCTTAATACCTGCAATGTTAGTTCCAAAATCCTGACAGTAAAGCGTGTCTTTCCGGAAATTGAAAATGCAATTTGTTATATCCTTATATCTGGCGGGTTATTTCAAGTCATCGCAAAATTTACTTAATTACATCATCTGCTGCGATCGTAGACATGCCCGAGTTACAGCGAAACTTAAGGAAAAAAGATTAATCTAATATTTTACAGCAAATTAAAAGTGCCGTAAGGGTCACTCCTTAGTTTCAGTTTTTTTTTTGCTCAATTTGTTTTCGTAATTGCTTGTTATTCTTGTCTCTCGTTAAAAACTCAATGTATTATTTTAAGCTAAAGTCAAGGCCATCAGAAAACAAAATGTTGTCTGTCAGCCTAGTTTGTCACTATTTGATTTACAGTCGATCAGTTTTCCTCTATTTTCAAGAAACACAACCGTGCTAAGAATACATGTTCAACTGATACTGATTAAAAATTGTGTCTCTAATGGTCAAACAGTTTGGGAGTTTTCATTTTTAAACTGCGGCAAACGCGAAAGTGTTGATCTGTGCATATTGGTATCCGTGTTTTTGTGCTACTGGTGTATGAAAGATCGCGTTGAATTCCAAATGAACCAACTAATTTGCCGTGGAGGTTTACGTTTTCAGCCCATGCCACATTGGTGATCTAATGATGTTGTTTTGCAGAGGACGGCTAACAAATGAACAAAGTCTTAAAACACGCGTGCCTAGCTATCGTTCTACCCACCAGATGTTGTTTTTGCCAGGTCGTCATTGCCGCCCCCGCCCCCATACGTGTGAATATGCAAACGCGCAGAATTTCACCGTTAACCGTCAAAAAGCAGCTTACATTGGCCGTCAAACGATTCAACTCTTCCTAATCTCACGTTTTCTGCAGCTTGCCACAAGCAGTTCTAGATCTCGAAGAATCTTCATACAAGCAAACATGTATCCAGGCTTCCGCTTTCACTAATTTTCGCCTTGACTGACGGTTTGAAAATATCAATATTCAATTTAAAACTTTAATACCTTAAAATAGCTTATTACGTTGCTGAATAAATTACTTCTGACCACGTCACTGAAGCCGAGCCTTTCCCGTTGTCCGACCAAATTGAACTTAAAGCAAGTTGAATTCATGACCAGTGTCCTTAAAGTCGTCTGCAGCTTTTCTCGTAAAAGCAGAAGATAAACCTTTTGAGCGATAAAGGAAACGAGTTTCTCTCGGGGAAAACCAAAGGCAAATTGGGAGTTTTGCATTATCTATTTCTTCGACTTGGTTGTTAAATTCAGTTGGGCCTGGTTCATTCGAACTACAGTTGTACCGGCTGGTAAATTACTGAAAGGGAAAAGTGAAGTTTACAGTGTCACAACCAAACAAAACGTCGTGTTAGAGCTGCCACAACTGTTGTTCGCAGAGAGAGAGCGAAGTAAACGGTAAGATGTGTTCTGAAATATTAACCTCTCGCAATATGTTTTTTAATCATACGTATTTATCTATGGAACTAAGAGCTCTGCTGTAAAATTATGTAGCAATACCTTATGTAATTATATATTTCCGTTGCCGTATTATCTCTCGAAGTAAGTACATTTTTAGCGAGGATGTGCGAAGCTAGCTCTTGTAATCACAATCGCCGCGGTTAATCCCCCCCGTGGGGGAATTTCGTTCGTGCCCGGAGAAAACTATGCTAAGTGCAAGAATAATCAGGCCTTCAAAGTTCTGCATATGTTGTTACAATTATAATATCGAATCTAAGGTATTGATTGGAACTGAAGATTAATTATTGCTGGAGGTCTTAAAAGTAAGCATTAGTTCACTCGAGCAGATAAAGACTGAATAGATCAAAATACAATCTATAATTCATGTTAAAAGATGAAAAACTCAATATTGAGTCAAATTCTTAAAAAGAAACATTTTCTTAAAAACTGTCAACCGTCAAAGGCCCTAAAATTATACCGTCAACCGTCAAAAATAGGAAAAAAAACTAATGGACTTTGTCGATTTCGTGGAACAGAAAGTCACAGTGTCCGGATAGCAAATCATTTGATGCCTTTTCTCTTTTATCTTATCTCAACCCTATGACTTTGTATCTAAATTACTTTCAAAATTGCGTTTAACTTATCCAGGTATTATTTTCTGATTTCCCTTGAAACAGCCGTGTTTCATGGCTTTTAACTACATTGTGCTGCTTATCAGTTTAAGTCCGCAAGAACTTTCAAATACTTGTGATGGTGCTGTTAAAATCTCCTGTAGGTGGAAAAAGTAATAATCGTGTGTTTGGCAGCGAATTGCTAAACCATATGCCAACTATTTTTTCCATTTGATAGATTGGCAGTCGAGAGTGAGAGACACAGATGAATTCTACTTTTTAATCCGCTATGGCAACAATTGTATGAAAAAAAAGTCCAGCTCGGAATTCAGTAAGCCACTGACATGTTCAACAACACAAGTGTTTCAACAGAAAAGCTGTCTCAAGGAAATATCAACACTGTCATCATTGAAGCAGTAGTTGAGCTCGTTCCCATTGCGCTATTGATCACCATTGCAAATGGCTTGGTGCTGGTTTTATTTACAAAGAATACCATGCTCCGAACAGCACCAAACTATGTCCTTTTTAGCCTGGCAGTCTGTGACTTCATGACAGGGATCATCAATATTCCCCTCTTCATAACTGTCGAGTTCACACCAGTTATTAAGTCTTTTGAGGTTCGATACTACATGGCCATCCTGGTGAGTGTGCTGAACAATTTGACCGCCATATCATCTTGCTATCATATACTTGTCGCCACAACAGAGAAATATCTGTCGATCATTCGGCCAGTAAAACATCGACTGATTACCAGAAGAACTGTAGCCAAAGTGGTGAAAGTAGTTTGGGTGGTGTCTGTTATTGTGGCCTTTAGTCCCTTTGCATGGGTTATAATGGAAGATAGAGAAACCCAAACGAGACTGGCGTTAGCACATGTGATTTTTTGCCTTGTTGCCGTTTTCTTGTTGCCGTATGCATTCATGATATACGCTTTTATCGTTATCTTTAAATCAATTTCCAACAAAGGTAAAGCTAAACGAGGTGCCACTTCGGAAAGACCTTTCTTAAGCCGGCAAGCTGCTCTTGAAAAGCGCTGTTTGATACTGTTCGTTGCAATGGCGACCATCTTCCTTCTTTGTTGGTTGCCATGGTTTATTTTGATGATGCTGTTCAAAGTGAAGAAGGACGTGAACTCCCTTGAAATCCCAGCTCATGTATCTGTGCTGGTAAGATATGCTACTTCTATCATAAACCCTGTGTTGTATACTTTCTTCAGAAGAGACTTTAAGACAGCACTACAGTCCTTATTTTAAGGCAGTAGATTACATTGTCTAACTTCCTTATACCATAAACCAAATGGATCTGATATAAATGAAACAGAAGGAACAGCTGAAGAAGACACTCTGTAACCCTCAACACCCTACCACAGTAGGTATGCATATTCTTCACTGTTCTCTGTACATTTCCAGAGGCGCTGCGAGGAAAACTCGTTTAACAATCAAGAACGTAAATGTTAGGTTTCCCGTGCACAAGGCCTAGTCTCTGCCGAGGTTTTGTCATTCGACACTAGGTCAAACCTCGGCAGACGTGTCTTTATCGCTTAATTGTTATTTTCGCCTTTTTTTTACGGATGGAGATCATTTAACTTAACTCACATCGAAGGAATAGAACACAACGGAATCATTACGGTAGTTGAAATAATTTTTTAAGGTTTACGGACAACGACACTTGCTGGTTTGTAAGAATTCCTGATTCGGTATTGAATTCGAACAAAGTGCTGAGCGTAGTTGATCGCATCGAATAAAACGTGGAATTGAAACTGAATTGACGGCTGTTAGAAAGAGCTTCCTAGGTCCCATTTATATGATCTCGGGTATCCGAGACAACTCTAGGGAGCATTTATATAAAATGTGACATCTGCTAACCCTCGTTCGGCCAGGCCAGGTTCGATATTCGACAGGGTGGCGCACGACAGAAAAAGAATTGCTGTAATAGGCCCGTGCTCTGGTTATAGCGTGCGCACGCATTTTCTGTTCGAGTTGTCTCGTCTCGGGTAGGCGAGACAAGGTGTTTACATGAGAAAAACTTGTCCCTTCTGCCAGGGTTACCCTACCTGCCGAGGTGAGACTACTCGCCTCCCCGAGTTATCTCGCCTACCCGAGACTAGTTCACAATTTCATATAAACGGGCGGCTGACTTTTGTAAAGAAATAAGTAAAAAGTTAGCTCGCCCAGGATAACTCAGGGGAAGAGGTTGTCTCGGATACCCGAGACCATAGAAATGGGGCCTAACTTGTTGATTATTTTCTTTTAAAATTTCGTGACCTTCATGTTTGTTTCAGGGGCCAGGTGATATTTTCAAAAAATAAGATCCTCGTCACTCTTAGTTAGGGTCAAAGGGTTTCAGCGGGAGTCAGAGTCGTTAGGACCGCCGCCTCAAAATAAATGTCTTGAATTCTTGAATAACTCAGTAATTTCTTTAAACGACGTACATTTTCTAATCAATCTTTTATGTTGAAGTTTTGGATAGACTCACGTTTTCGAAAGTTATTTCGCCTTTCAAAAGGTGATGAACGCCAAGGTGACACTTTCCACTGACCTACGATGGATTGATATGCATATAAATAAAATAAACCGATAAATTAAAGGTGCACCTCACCCTTTCTTGTCTTGTGCTGTACAAGGTTATATCAAACGTTAATAGTAAAACTAATTGGTCGATCTCAATAGGGCGAAGTTTACTTCAGTTAGCTTTTGACTTCTCTCTGTAACAAAATTTGGAAAATTTGTTTCCTCTGAAGAATGTGGTTCCTTTTTGCGGCAGCAGCTCCTCTCCCCCTTCCCCCTCCCCCCCCGCCAGAAAGATATACCAAATCTACTAGGGGTGCCTTACCTTCAAACAACCACTTGATTTACGTTCAAACGTACAAACATAGAATCGAGGCCGATAGGACCCTAACCCTTCTCTACCAATGCATTTGGGGAAAGAGATATTGTGGTTAGAAAGGTAATCTTACTATTTATAGAGAAGGATAACTTCAATGTAAAGTGAGATGTGAAATTCAATAAAAACCCTTATAGTTAGGCTAGCCCAAACTTGATGGTGTATATTCTTCGTGGAGAACCGTTAAAACTGGTGTACCACAGGGGTCCCTGTTGGGTCCACTCTTATTTAATTTGTATGTGAATGATCTTAATTATTTTATTACTAATACGTCCTTGAGGCTATACGCTGACGACACTACTCATTACGCCTCTGATGTCTCACCAACAGTATTGCAGTATATAATTAACTCTGATCTGAGCGTTCTATCGAGATGGTTCTCAATGAATTTTTAAAAATTAATGCCGCCAAAACGCAAGCTATCGCTATTGGCCCGTCTTCATACCAGTATGATTTCCATCTTAATGATTCTAATGTCCATACAAAGGACACACTCAAAATCCTTGGGGTGGTCCTAGATAGCAAATTAACATTTAAAGCGCACATAAAGCAACAGCTGAATAAGGGATGCGCAAAGGCTTCGGCTTTGCGGAGAATACGTAAGTTTATTTCAAAGGACGTGTTAGTTCGTTTATATAAGGCCTATGTTCTCCCTCATCTCGAGTACTGCAGTCCCCTTTTACTGGGAGTAGGTAACGCGGAGACTACTAAAATAGAGACAACTAATTACTTTATATTAAGAACTATATTAGGCTTCTCGAAGTCTGTGTCATACGACTTCCTCCTCAAGTTGGCCGACATTAAGTCTTTGGAGAATCGTAGGCAATTCCAATCGTTAGTTATGTTATATAAGTGCTTGTATGATAAGGGGGCTCCTTATATAAGTGATTTTTTTCATTTTAGAAATGTACCGTATAGTTTGCGCGGGCTCAGTACACGGCTAGATTTACCTCCTTTTAATCTTGAGTTTTTATATCGGTCTTTTTCATTTTTAGCTAGTAAACTTTGGAATGCGCTACCCCCTAGACTCAGAGAATCTCAAGATATTGTTTCATTCAAGCGTTCTCTTAAAGCCCACATGGCTTAGTGGCAGTGATTGTAAATATCGTTATTGCTAATATTGTAACTTTTTATTGATAGCTCTTGTCTACGATCTTCGATCCTGTTTTTAGTTATTTAATAGATCTAATTATTATTTGTATTCTTACAGAAATTATGTTTTATTTCTAATTGTACATACACGTACACGTTTTAACGAGAACTTCTGTACTCCTAGGTGTCACGTGTTTAAATAAAGGATTGATTGATTGATTGTTATCCCACTCTTTGTGAAATTGAAGTGGAATAACTGAGTGCCTGTTAAATCAGTTTGGAAAAACCAACATGAACTTTGGGAGCAAAAATTAATATTCTCGTGTAAACGTTACCTCAGTTGATAATCTTTTGGTCAAATATTTCACCAAGCACGGTAAAGCTATCTTAAAAGAAAAAATTAAGAATAATTCATTGCGAGGCGATATAACAATCGATATAACAACAGACCTCCGTCCTGAAGACAGGAAAATGGAGGTGACAAATCAGTAACAGATAGTTGAAAATATAAAAGTATTTAATGATCACGATAGACTAGAGCCTATAACGTTTTATCACAAACAGCTAACTGTCAAAAAAGAAAAGAAACATCAGGTCTGTTCCACAGATACGTTGTGCAATATTACCTTCCTGCTGGATAACGAGGATGCGACTCCAACAGCCCAACTGCTGAGGTTTTCGTGCTATGTAGCACTCAATAATACACAGGATCAGTGTTGATACCAGCCTGGTGCTGAAACGGCCACCTTGCCTAAGTAAAAATAATTTGACTTGTCAACAATAGGAAAAAAGAGAGTCAAAGACTGCATGTGTCTATAGGGGTTACAAATGATAGTATAAAGAACAATAATGATAATGATAACAATAGTAATATAATAATAAATTAAATGGGCTTGCTCGAAGCCTCGTGGTTCCTCAATCCTCTGGTACCAACAATGTTGCGCCTGTTAATTATAAATAATTTTCTTATTTTATTGCAATTCCATTTTTTGAGACTTTTGTTACATATAAAAAGGCTTTCTGCGTTTTAGGATATTCCGTCATTCCGCGTCTTAAGATATTCCGCAATCCCTCCGTCCCATCATTCAGTTGAATAAATCAAAGTATATCGTGTTTCTCAGCTTGCTTTCCCCGCATTTTAGCGGCTCTTTTCGGCCTAACTTGCTGACTGAAACAGTAAAATGCTCTTCCATCAAATAATAAATAAATTCCTCAGAGGTTCCATGATGTGCAGATCATATCCGTTGAGAAAAAGTATTTCTGCAAGGAAAAATTTTGATTTAAATCAGGTGACGATGGGCGCCACTGTGAAACTACTTTTAGATGTTTATCGTCCACTGAAGTGTCACGGCAAGAACTGAAAAGATTATTCTATCGGATGTTCATAAATTAACTGATTCAAACGGTAAGATGCTCTCTCTTTTAAGAAAAAAATATTCCTTTGAAGTTTCATGATGCGCCGATCAAACCGATTAAGATACCGATATTTCTGCAAGGAAAAATTTTGTTTTTAAAATAGCGCGCAATCCTAAAATGATTGTGAGATGCTTGTTGTCTTCTGCCGTCTTCCTTAGTGTCAGGGCAACAACTTGAAAACATAATGTGCCAGTGGCTATCAGCCAGAAATCACAAAAGGAGAAAACTCAACTGTGTATCAAGTGCGAACTACTTACTAAAAATACCCCGCAAAAAAACAATAAGCAGCACCAAGTAACAGCGGGTCAAAATTGGGTCAAGATGGAATTCTATTGTTACACTCACTCCCTCACTCATTCATCTTTACAAAATAATGGCTTATGATAGGCAGTAGCTACAAAAACCATGCAAGTTAACCAAATGCTCTTTACAGCTGGGACAAGAGCGACTGCATATCTTCCGAGTGTGAAAGTCTGTGAAAGTCAACTGTTGTTTTTTACGTAATTATATATCTTTCAATACCTTTCAATGTTCAATGTTATATTTCTTATTCAGCTATTACTTTGATAGGCAGTGTAGTTTTGAATTTTTCTTGAATACGATGCTCGTCTGTTATTAGTTAGACCCCAAGTCATTCTTTTATTGAAATAGCACAATACGAACAAATGTTTCATAAGAACTGACAACTGAGTTGCTATGCAGTTTTGATGGATGCTGAAAAAAATGCATCGAAAGCTGCTCATTGTAAAAACACAAATGGAACAGTTGGGATATCTGAACGACCGAGGAACAACGGATCCGGAATTATCCGTATACCGAGTCGTTTGAGACCGGTTCGCAAAAGAGAGCGAGTAACGCCGACAAGCGCAAGGAGATTTCAAGAGAAATAGCCTGTACACATTTTCTGAGGTGAGCTTATTTTTTTCCTTCGATTCGTTTCTAGGTATTTTCGAAAGGTGATGTTCCCTATTTTATCCTGTATCTCCAGAAAGTAAATATGCAATGAAATGGAGCACATTTGTTATGAGCACTCAGTTATATGATATGTCAATATTCTTCGTTAATTGGGTTGACGTGAACATTTTTGAAATCAGAAACAAAAAACGAGATAAAATTCGGGACTTCAACGCCAGGATTTGAACCTGTAAATGATTTTCGAGCAATTCACATACGCCTAATTGACTGCGGAGATAATTTCTGTCCTTAAACATTTCCCTTCTGTATCATCTGGCAGAGAATGTTTTGTTTTTCTAAAATCATTTAGTCAACCCGGAATATTCAGAGATCTTATGATTTTGAACTCATTTTATCTTGAGAAATGTGCAGAAAATCTACAAGTTTAGGCCATAGTTTAAGGATGTGATTAACATTCATGAGTAGTAACAGCAGTAATCGAACAGTGAGGTACCCAAGATATCCGGGAAAAGAAAGTGACGGCCACTTTAACAAAGGTTATCTCGCGGTTAGGTCGCCTGTAAATTTTTCTCGACGAACATTTCAGTGAAGGTTAATTGTCTTGAACATTTTACTGTCCTCAAAAGGAGTTAGAGTTGCTAATGAAGCAGATTTGAAAGGAGCTTTGATAAGGTTTTTTTTTGCAATGTTAAAGAACTGGCTCTAACACTAGTGTGCGGCGTTCATCGAGATATGAAGCACACAGCGGGGAAGTTTGCCGGAGAACACAAAAGGTGCGTGAGTTTCTCGAGGAGTAGCGGAGAACAAATTTAGCTCCCTGAAGTTCCCCTAACCTCCCAAATGCTTCATAGCTTAATGAACGAACAGCTAACACATGAACCAATTTGTTTAATTTATAACGTTATCAATCAGCAGTACCTTTAAAGGTGCATAACGCTGAAGATTCAATATAGCCCATTCTACATTGTTTTCCTTCTCCAAGAAAGTCCACGTTACTAATACGATAAAACACTCCAAACTGTAAGTTTCATTGCATTTCTTTCCTATTTTCACCCTACAGGATAATGGCTTTCGTGGACTTAAAAATTGCTGCAGTAATGGTGTTTTGTCTTGCAGTATTCACTCTCTTTTGGACAAATCTAAAATATTGTAAATTCTCTCGAGGTGTGTATCATTAGCATTACAACAGCTACAATTCAAATTTCATTTCTTCAATATCAATATCCTCCAAGCTTTATGCAGGAGAGCCCGGGCCGCAAGTTATTGGTGGTTTGCACGCTACGTCATTGCCGCCATGTTGGTGGACGTAAACAATAGATATCTCATTGGCTCCCTTTGTTCGTCCACCAGCATTTGTTCCTTTCACCATTGTTACCTGTGTCTCTAGAGATTGGTTGCAAACCACCTATTGTGAGGTTTCCTGAGGAAAGACACTTATATTTCAATGTTTTCCCCGTGAGACTTGCTAAGTGTAAGGATGAAACGATTCCATTCTGAGCAAGGTATCTCTTCTCATCGAGGAGAAGAGAACATATTTCCATTTACTTATTACTCCATAGATAGGAATGCGTCCCGTCAGGATGAGCCTCTTGGCTCGTTGTACAACATCATTCTTGATAACGATTCGAAGATAACCGATTACTGATGATGATGATGAAAATGTAACTGATCCTGAGCTTGATTAGAGGTCATAAAAATTTTAATGCCTCAAATTTTCTTGTTCAGTTTTACGTCTGGTTCGGGTAAGCGGTTGATTACAGTTTACTATACATCCTATAATCAAAAACTTCGAAACAAGTTTTTTCCGGCCTTCCTTTCAAGGGCTTTCAGTGGGCAGTCTCTAACCTCTATTCTCTTTCTTCCAGACCTCTTTTCTGCCTTTCTTCCTCGATCCTCGCTCAACTCTCCCTCTCCCTCAACTCTCCTAACTTTTCCTTTCGAATACCCCGCTGTTATGCACTTTGCACCCATAAATTATTTGATTTCAGTTCCACAGCTGACTCATCCTCTAGATGCGAGACAGTACGACAATGTCAAAATCTTCTTGCTCTTTATTGGTTACAACAGAAGCAGACACACCCTGTTAGCTTCTCTGCTAGATGCTCATCCACACACCATCGTTGCCAACGACTACGATATCTTAGGCGAATGGATCAAAAATCCTCTGTTGTCTCAGAGGGAAAAATATTACATCTACGAGCTGCTCTATGCAAAATCTCGTTATGACGTCATGTTTGGAGTGCGCTCGCGAATGGTGGGTAACAAACCCAAGAGGTTTCATTATAACATCAAGGACCAATGGCAAGGCAGTTACAGTCATAGTCTGAAGGTTTGTTTTCTGTTCTTGTACTCGTCGGTGCAAATTTAGCTGGATTTCAGATTATACACCGCGCTTTACAATTTGAAAATGAGCCTCTCTCCTTTCCAAATGGAAACCACTTACTTACAAACAAGTGCGATAACGTGAATACAAATGTGGTTTATCTATAAACATGTTGCTGGATATAATCAGAATGCTGACTCGTAGTTTCCTCTTCGTTCCATGCAGGTAATTGGTGATAAGAAAGCTGCCCATGCATCCAAAATTGCGCGTGAAGCGGAGGGAGTAAAGGCATTGAAAGACCTCGAAAAAAAACTTGGTTTACAGCTAAAGTTCATTCACGTTGTGAGAAATCCATTTGATAACATCGCAACAATGACCCTACGAAGAGCAAATGTGGGGAAAAGGGGACAAAGAGACCTCAAGGTAAGCACATACAGTATAATGGTAACAAGACTCATCCTGACTTATACAAGCCATTAATTAACGAGGATAAACAAGATATCAATGCCAAGGTCTGAGTTCTCTGCCGAAGCCAAAAGCCGAGGCAGATAACAAAGACGCGAGGTTGGATAATTTATGCTATCTTGCAAAAACCGAGAGAAACACTTTCTCTCCAGGTTGGCAAAAGTTTTAGAACACTACACGCTCGAGGGGCTTAGAAACTAGGCAGACTTTGAACTCGATATGATAACTCAAAATCTGCAGCAGATATTGTGTTATCATTTCAACTTCACACGCTATTCTATTTGGACTGTAAGCTCTCAACCGATCCTAGTTTTTCTCGGGCTAGGAAACTGACCCCTTTACTGACCTCCTCTTAAATTCACTAGAAATCATGAATTGAAGCTAACGATAACAACCTAACGATACAAAATTACGATGTAATAATACACTCACCTCTTCACTTCCAAAATGGCGGAAGATGGTCGATATGTTTAATGCCTATAGTCTGCCATCGTCCAAACTCGTTTTACTACAATTGCTAGTTCTCCTACACTCATAAACTAGTGGCAAATGTTTCGAAACATTGTGTACTGTGTTGTATACGTTTCCACCGAAAAGAATTGTTTTTCTTCGACCAAGGCGTCGGTAACCGGAGGTTTGAAGTGTTTTAGTAGTGCCAGGTCACGCTCTAATTGCCATTTTCCAATATGGCGCTGGCTTTTCCTTCGTTTGTTAAAAATTGGGTAAATGGTTGTGACTAATGGACTTTCAAGGTAACTTTCTTCATGTATGCCGTGAATTGGTGAAGGCTCTACTCGCAGATGAGTCCCTGTCTTTAGAGCCTGCAGAACAGACATCATTTGTGCGCGTTTTTCAGGTGAGTGAACAACTACTGAAGCGCGAGGCATAAGTCGCGATACCCAAGCGACGGGGTTTGGCTGACCTAGTTGAGAAGAAGCTCTTATGGTAGTTATACATTTAAATTCATTTCCAGTGAATTTAAGAGGGGGTCAGTAAGGGGGGGGGGGGCAGTAGGGGGTCAGTTGACCCAGGGTCAGTGTTTTGTCCTAGCCCGTTTTCCTCGTCAGTCTGATGTATAATAAATCATATTAATCATACTACCGATCTGCTAGGTTTCGGACCTACCTTAAACTTTGAAGCAAAAGTTTAACTCATCCAACTAACGCAGCCAAGGCGTCATAAACATTTTAGGAATACCTTATCACCAAAGATTCTTAGCCCTTCGCTTGATGATGATCTTCATTTAGGTAAACCTTTCAAAAACACTCGATGGAAGTATAAAAAGTTACGGTGAACTCGCTCGGGGTAGTCTTGAAGTCAAGAAAAACTTTCCAGGCCGTGTACTTGACGTGGCAAGCATGGATGTGATGACAAACACTATTGAAACTTTGCAGAAAATTTGCAATTTCCTAGAAATCACGTGCACAGAGAAGTACTTGCAAGACTGCGCAGCTATTGTCGAGCCAGTCCCCTCCACCACGCGAACAAGAGTCGAATGGAACTCAGACCAAATAAACCGAGTTCGGAGATTAGTATTACAATATCCATTCCTTAGACGATATTCATTCTATGATTGAATGTCGCTGAGAGGCGCTGTGAAAATTGGATAAGCTGGTAGATATTGGATAACAAAATAATTTAAATGTTAGGCAATAGCTTGTAAAAAGGAGGCAATTTGACTGAAAAGTCCTTTAACTCGTACTTTGTGTTCGTAATAAATGTTGCCATACGGTGGGGTAAAATATCCTAAATGTAACTATGTGCGTATTACAATTCCAATGACACATGTATATATGCGCGTAACCGTTTCATGTTGTCCTTCAGTGAGGCCTAAAATTACTGAATTACTGTCACATAAATTTTACAGTAGCTAATACAATAGCCTCATTGGAAACCATTACATCAAATACGCCCAGAGATTACAAGGTTATAACTAAGCGAAAGAATGAAACTTTTACCTATTATACACCTCAGTACTAACTATAAGTATTGAAATTTATCTACATATTGAGTAATGATGTCAAATACCATGATTTATATAGAACATTGAAGGCCTCTTGCTCGCTGAACAGTCTAATTAATCTAATAGTATTGGTAATTATAAATGATCGAATGAAAATAAAAAAAACTGAAAACGTGTGATGTGAAATAAGAAACTCCAAATCAGATGCTTATGTATAACTGCAAAAACATTGTCTCAGAAAAAAAAACCAAAAAGGTAAGAAGTGAAACAAGACAAATGAACCAAAGCGCATTTTCCCATTGAAGGACAGTATTAAACCCCAGCGCTTATTGAACAGCGGATTAAGGCAAAAACGGGAAAAGAACGACTAGGAAACAAGAAGTTCGCTTATTAATTTAAATCAACTTGAGTAAGTGCTTTAAGGCCGGCTTATGTTTAGGATTTATCAACATCACAAGAACATAATTTACTTCCTACTGAATTTCGACTTGCCTTTTTTCATTTTCTCACGATTGCGTTGTTGACATTAGGTGCAACTGAGTGCAAGGGATACATGTTGTTATTAGGGATGACTCCCGTTCAGTCTAACTTAATTGTCGCTTCTTCTATAACAATTGGATCTTAAGAGTGAATGTGTGCGGATGTTGGAGAATGGACTTTGAATTAAGAAAATCGGTTGATATAATATCTTCTGTTACGGAATTAAGCTTAGAGCGGGAAACTGTACTCATTCCCACACATGGTACACGTGTCCCGCCTGTGAATTCACAAGTTAAGCTTTCAGTTACTTTTTCGTTTCATTTATATTGTTACATCTAATTCAAAGGTATTAACTATGGGTAATATAGTGATATGGCCTTCATTTATGACGTCACTTAATGTAAGCCCGCTGAGTTATGAAGGTGGAGGAGAGGGTCAGTGAGTGCCACTGTGTAATAAGAAATTTTAGTGACTCAAAGGCGGTCGATAAGTTTGATATTAACCGGTTTATCAGGAACCATAATGAGCTTCTGGTACATTTCCAATGGACCTTGATTGTACTCAATTTGAAACCGCTGCAGTAGCTGCCAGACAAAGTATAAGAAAAATATATCAAAACTTCAGGAAAGATTTTCTAGGCTACAGTTCGTTGCAAACCATCCTCGGAGACCCAGGGGCTGTGAGTCGATTTCAAGTTAAGGGCAGAAGAGCCCCTGAGGACATTGTCTTGCAAGACGAGTTCCAAACGGTCGCAGTCGTTCTGGCATCTGATTGGTGCCAGAAAATCTTTGTGTTTTTCTGCCCAATCAGAGTGAAAGTGTGCTTTGGAGTCCTTTCGTGTGTTTAACACGGACATATAACAAGAAGCTCTGTTGCTCGTTATGCTTGTTTGGGCCGTGCGACGAAGCTTTGCCCTAGTTGAAAAGGTTCAGCCTCAGCACACAATGTAAGAGAAATCGATCAGATTGTCCGCAAAAATCTCACCGGAAATTATGCTGAATAGTTTCGCAGGTATCACAAGAGAACGTGTTTAAAAGTTTGCGAGGTTCGTATAAAACACGATGATTGCAGGCGTTAATATGTCGCTTTTAACGTTAAACGAAATGCAAGCTTAAATCTGTCTAGATTTTTTGTACAATTTGCTGTAACTGAAACTTTGCCAATCTCGTGAAGTTATTTCGTCGCACGGGCCACGCAGGTATCTCGAGCAACTGGCGCTTATGCTTACGTAGCTTTCTTTGCGCGACGAAATCTAACCTTAGCTTTGTCAGCTGTAAAGTCTTTCGCAATTTGGCCAAGGTTGCAGAGAACGTTAAGTTCGTGGACGACTTCCAGCAAGCGCCTAGAGAAAGCTTAGCTGTGTTTTCGCTTAGCTAATTAAAATCTGAACAAAAATAATTATCGAGAACATCGTGGGAAGGAGAGATGTTTTCGAACAGTTACCGAAGGGGTTTGGAAAGAGTTTAATCTTTCAGCTGCTGCCTAGAGTGTTCAAATTCTTAAACTCGAAAGGCCACGGATTCTCTTCTAGTCCTTTGGTCATTGTCATTTCACCTCTTGTCGATTGTTGAAGACCAAGTTAAAGACCTTTGATCATTGGGAATCGATCTGATGCTGCTTTCATTGAGGAAAACAAAAACCAAAGACAGAGAAATACTGGATGGAAAGGGCGGGTTTGCTTTCTTGTAAATGTCACCTGAGTATAGGGTTATCTACCGACGTCTAATAAACAAAAGTTTCCACGCTTAGCTTTTTTTTTATTTCAGGCGAAGATTAGATTTGGTTTTGGCGCGTACAAAAAGCTGCATAAGCGCTAGTTGCTCGACATACCTGCGTGGCCCGTGCGAAAAAATAGCTTCACGGGATTGGAAAAGTTTCAGTTACAGCAAATTAGACAAAATGAGATTTAAGCTTACATCTCATTTAACGTTTAAAGCGACATATCAATGCCTGCAACCATTATCTTCCATAAGAACCTCGCAAACTTTTAAACACGTTCTCTTATGATACCTGCGGAAGTATTCAGTATAATTACTGGTAAGATTTTCGCGGACAAACTGATCGATTTCTCTTACATTGTGTGCTAAGACGGAAACTTTTCACCTCTGGCAAAGCTTCGTCGCACGGCCCAAACAAACATAGCGGGCAACAGAGCTTCTTGTTATATGTCCGTATTAAAACACACGAAAGGACTCCAAAGCACACTTTCTCTCTGATTGGGCAGAAAAACACCAATCAGATGCCAGAACGACTGCGACCGTTTGGAACCAGTCTTGTAAGACAATGTCCCCAGGGGCTCCTCTGCCTTTAACTTGAAATCGACTCGCAGCCCCCGGGTCTCCGAGGATGGTTGTAAACATGACATTCTCACCTTGCAAATAAACAGATAAATTTCCAATTCCGCCAAACGACGACCTAACCAAAAAAAAAAGTAATATTCAACAGGAAAGTCAGAAGAAATAAAGTTCGTCAATATTTGAGGACAGCAGTACGGGGTAACAAAAGGGCGGAGAGATCTGAGACAGGATGTCAGTTGCCCGTGTACCTGCAAGGAATGTCTGAGGTTCATTCGGTAACGTGGAAGGAGAAAGGGGGAGGGGGGTAGGAAGGAGGTGAGGGGGACAGGTGACCGGGGATGCCGCTATAATCCAGGTGGAAAGATGCTCAAATCCGGAGATATGACAGGATAATCTTTATTTGAGCCACTGTTTACAACGTTATAAAGTTAAATGAAGAGGAGAATTAAATAAAGAAGAGTGCAAGATATCCTGAAAAAAAACCATAAGGGCTTGTCAGAGTAGGATATTCTAGAAGAATGCAAGGCATAAATCATTTCCAGCGTTAAGTACTAAATCTTTGAGTCCTTGTCACCGAGTGAATAGGAGCTCGCTAATAGGCCAGGTAATAGAGCGGTATAAGTCAATAGTCCATTTTACAGTTGTGTGCTTGGTTGCCAAGCCTTTGAACGGGAGTGGGGCAAGGGGTGACCTTGTTATGATACAAACCTCGCTGCCTTTCAAATGTAAATCACTTTGTTATCATGCTAACTAGATACAGGTCGCTATCATGACAAGGTCACCTTAAGCCTCACTCGAAATCAAAGGCTTGGCAACTAAGTACACAACTGTAAAATGACCTATTCACGTAAGACGTGCGGAAATTAATAACCTTGACCCAACTCCCTCCTTCCTCCCCACCTCACCCACCCTTAAAAATCCTCATTACGCCCTGTTTCCTCCTTCCTTCCCCCCCCCAGCAACCCTTGAAACCCTAATTATGCCCTGTCTGTTTCAACAACCTTACTCACCAAGGCACATTCGAGGTCCGAATCCAAATGGTATACTTGCAAAAGCGTGAGCCTCTTCCCTGTTTTCTCGCAGCCAGCGCTCTGGTTTGTACTCTAAAGGATCCTCAAAGTACTTTTCAGAGCGAGCAGTACAGTAATTTTCTAAAACTATGAAAGTCTGCAAGAGCAATTTGGAATTTCGTCAGTCCTGGATCTATATCAAATAATTAACAATTATTCCACGAGCGCGCGTTGGATATGAGATGATAGATAGCCAACGAGGCGCGTAGCACCGAGTTGGCTATAGTTATCTCATCCAACAAATGCGAGTGGAATAATTGTTTTATTAAAAAAAAAAACGCCCCCAAACTATTAGACAAATCTTCTCGACTTTATTTTGTGAGAAGAAACCGGATTTAACAATGTACAGAAATTAGATTATGGTATATTGGCTGATATACCATAATGGCTGAGCCAATCAAAAGTCTTGAATTGCATTATCCAATGATCCAGTTTTTAATAAAAGGGATTAGTGTATTTGTTGATGGCAATCACCTTTATCATAATCCTTATTACTGTTATCTTTGTCATTATTTATCATGATAATTACAAATGGCAACACCGCACTCAACAAGATATATGTAGTAAAAAAACTAACAAAGACTCACTCTTGCTGGCACATGATAGCCACGCAACTCAATATCCTCATCCAATATTCGACTGTTGGCGGAAACAACTGGGTGTAATCTTTTCACAAAAATGTAAGAACAGAGAAGATTAAAACTGGCACAGTTCATGTTTTGTCGTAAAGTAAATAAATGGGTGTGCCACTCCATCCTACAATGCTTCCAATTTGAAAAAATTACCCAATCGTTTCTCATTAAGGGGTAGTAAGTTTACCTCATTGTTTCTTTTAGACAAGCCTTCAGATATGACAATTTTGCAAGACTCTGAGAGGTGACATCTGCATCCTTTCCAACAACACTATCCACCTCCTGATAGAGTTTGTCTTGCACGCGTGGATTTCTTCCTAAATTATATAACATCCACAAAGTAGTATTTGCCGTCTGTGTTATAAAAAGAGGAAAAAGAGAAACATTTGATCATTAAATAGCTTCTAACTGACTATATACACTTATTCCCAAAGATTTACACTACAAGCATTATACATAGCCTTAATTCAATACTTAGCAACAGTAACAGTTGATTGTTAATACCCATTTAATGAACCAGGTTCATTCCTGTTAAACATGATGAAGGTCATGTCACTTAGGTGTTAAAAATAATGCACACGTTGTGTCAGACTACCATAAAAATTTCTCTTAAGACTGTGACACTAAGTCTTGTGGCAGCCATTAGATTGGAGATAACACTCATAGCAGCCTGATACAGTGTACATGCTCAAGTATACCACAACAGTGCTCAGTGACAGTGATATCACCCATAGCAGTCTGATACAGTGTACATGCTAAAGGTGTACCATGACAGTGATCCATGACAGTGATATCACCGATAACAGTCTGATACAGTGCACATGCTCAAGTGTACCACAACAGTGATCCATGACAGTGATATCACCCATAGCGGTCTGATACAGTGTACATGCTCAAGTGTACCATGACAGTGATCAATGACAGTGACATCACCCATAGCGGTCTGATACAGTGTACATGCTCAAGTGTACCATGACAGTGATCAATGACAGTGACATCACCCATAGCGGTCTGATACAGTGTACATGCTCAAGTGTACCATGACAGTGATCAATGACAGTGACATCACCCATAGCGGTCTGATACAGTGTACATGCTCAAGTGTACCATGACAGTGATCAATGACAGTGACATCACCCATAGCGGTCTGATACAGTGTACATGCTCAAGTGTACCATGACAGTGATCAATGACAGTGACATCACCCATAGCGGTCTGATACAGTGTACATGCTCAAGTGTACCATGACAGTGATCAATGACAGTGACATCACCCATAGCGGTCTGATACAGTGTACATGCTCAAGTGTACCATGACAGTGATCAATGACAGTGACATCACCCATAGCGGTCTGATACAGTGTACATGCTCAAGTGTACCATGACAGTGATCAATGACAGTGACATCACCCATAGCGGTCTGATACAGTGTACATGCTCAAGTGTACCATGACAGTGATCAATGACAGTGACATCACCCATAGCGGTCTGATACAGTGTACATGCTCAAGTGTACCATGACAGTGATCAATGACAGTGACATCACCCATAGCGGTCTGATACAGTGTACATGCTCAAGTGTACCATGACAGTGATCAATGACAGTGACATCACCCATAGCGGTCTGATACAGTGTACATGCTCAAGTGTACCATGACAGTGATCAATGACAGTGACATCACCCATAGCGGTCTGATACAGTGTACATGCTCAAGTGTACCATGACAGTGATCAATGACAGTGACATCACCCATAGCGGTCTGATACAGTGTACATGCTCAAGTGTACCATGACAGTGATGAATGACAGTGACATCACCCATAGCGGTCTGATACAGTGTACATGCTCAAGTGTACCATGACAGTGATCAGGGGGCTTATTAGAGAGGGGGGCTTATTCGAGAGGGGGGGCTTATTTAAGAGGGGGGCTTATTTGAGAAAGGGGGCTTATTTGAGAGGGGGACTTATTAGAGAGGGGGGACTTATTTGAGAGAGGGGGTTTATTTGAGAGAGGGGGCTTATTTGAAAGGGGGGCTTATTAGAGAGGGGGGCTCATTTGAGAGGCAGGGCTTATTTGAGAAGGGGGGCTTATTAGAGAGGGGGGCTTATTTGAGAGGGGGATTTAATAGAGGATTTATGGTACTACTTCTTCCTACTAAATGCTACACACTTCCTTGTTAATCAGATTGGAGATTTCAAGATAACAACCCCTAGCCAATGAGCTTGTCTGTTTGCATATAACCTGTTTTCTGGACAACTTGAAGGAATTGCTTGGATGAGTCACAAGTTAATAAAATTTGGGGGTTGAAGGATTAAGTTGTACTCATATTCTGTATCCTCTGATTTGAAGGGTTAATGTTGCTTATTAGCAACCCTGGAAACAGTACTTAGGAACACTATATCTACCAACAGGAAAACACTTCACATTTTTCTACTCATGTTGTTAAATTGAAAGAAACATTATGATGTCACTAACTGTATCAACTCCTGCGCCCACAACATCAAGAACAACACCCACAACCTCTTGAGGAGTCAGTTCCTTCTTTGTGAGCAGGTAGGTCAACAATGGAACAACTGCAAGAAAATAAAAGACAGTTAGACAATGATAGATGAAAATGATTGAAGAAAAGTTGGGAATTAAGTAGTGATTATATTCTTTTAAATCATTTCAAAGATAATCATAATGTTCAATGTACACAAACTGCTGCAGTTGTCATTTATTTCAATTACACACTCATAGACTTATATACAACACTATGTAATAATCATATACATTCATAAATCAGTTTCAAAGAGATATCTAACTGAATACTTGCCTTGAGTGTTGCCAGAGGGGTCAATTTCTTTATCTGACATTTCTTTTAATTCTCTCATCTTCTTATCCACAAAACCTTCCCCAATTTCTATAAGGGCATCAGCAGTTTTGAAGAATTTCTTCAGTAATGGTGTATCAATGTTGAAGTTCTTAGCAATTCTCCTTGATACACTAAAAAATAACTTATGGCTGATTGAGAAGAAGTTATGAACCTCTGTGATGAATCGCATGGCTTCTTCCTTGGGAGGGTCTTCATAAAGCCCCAGGCGAGAATCAAATGCAAGTGTTCCCACACCTTGAAAAATTATATAGAGAATGTTAAATTACTATTTCAATCAAAACATAAATTTAAAATGAATAAATCCATGAGCAAAAACAACACTCATTGGTCAAAATCTTGCTGAGAGAAAGTCTCATTCTATCAGCTAACATCCACCTCACCACCTCTTATCCCGCTTCCCATCTCATGACCCAAGGCCCAATTTTTGTCATTGTTTCATGTTCTCATTAATGAGAGAAAAAGGCCACATTTTTCATTACCACAAATGGCTTTTATCACTAGTAGCTGCATATTACAGAAGTTGGTCAGCCTATGATCCCATTCTGCCTTGCAGATCCACCTTACAACCTCTAGCAGCTGAGCACAGCTCATTTTGTTAGGCACATATTATATTAAGCACATTCCCAGGTCCTGGTCAGCTTTTGCCAAATGTGACAGCCCATTTGGAATAGGATGGCTTTATAACCCTTCCCAGACTTTCTCTTTTTGCAATTTTCTTAGGTTTGCTTTGGTGATGAGAGGGGCAGATATCATCTTATTGATAGCTTTGACAGTCAAGTGTAACATTTATCTATGTTTGGGTACAATATCAATTTTTTTATCATAACTGATCCACACATTCACATTTGATTCATCAGAAAATTCTATATATTCCTGCATTCTTTTTAAAAAAATTAGGTGACCAGTTTTTGCAACAATACAGCTAGCCCCTGAGAAACACTCTGTACTCTTCCTTTATGTGGCTCTGAACTCAACCCTGAACTCAAAATCAAATCTGGTGACCCACATTCCTTATCACTGAACTGTAATCAGCATATGAAGATCAACCTTTTCTGTGCATATATTTCAGTGCCCTCTACTAGATGGCTCTGAACCTTGTAATGAGTAAAATGACTGGTCAGCAAAGAAGAAATGCTCCATGATCACTTTTGCTGAGGTTGTACCATCTCTCTCCTACTTCCCATGAAACTTCACTTAAACCACATTTAAGGTCACAGATCACTCACATTTATTTCAAGTATAATCAGTTTAAATTGACTTACTCTCTGTAGCCCATTTACTAAGTTCCTCCTCCAAGTCTGGAATGTATCCATCAGGTCCACATTCTTCCTTTAGTTTGGCAAGCCTTGCAATAGCATCATTTGTTACAGCAGTAAAGTTATCAATGTTCTCCTCCATAATCTTTGGACGCATTATTTTTGGAGCCACACTGTGTCGCACTCTGTACCACTCCTCTCCTTCCCTATCAGATTCACAAAAAAATGTTGCAAACTAATTGAGCGAGATAATATTCTTAAATCACGCCAGCTATTTCTCTGTCAGTGTTTGTTTGTCCTCCTGACTCAGCTGTGCATTTGATAAATACAACTACAGCAAAATTTAAGAAAACGTCTGACAGATACCCTATATTTTTTCTCAAACTTTGTTTAGGTTTTGTTTAATTGGTAGTAAGACTTCATGTCTTGGCCCCCTTCCACCACGCAAAAATGGTGATACCGCCGTCATGTCACGCAAAGTGTAAAACGGTTTTGGACACATAAAAAATCGTGACTTACAAGAGCACAATGCCAGGGAAGTAATTTCTTCGTTGTCGATGTTCCAACCAAAAATCAACAATTAGTCTGGAGGGATATTTTCCTTCAGCACGTAGAGCCTTTTCTTGATCAACAGGATCAATAAGGTGCACAGAGTGTGTACCTATCACAGCGAACTCCTTGAAAATGGGGCCATATTTTTGAAACAGTTCATCCCACAATTTGTATCCTTTAGTGAATCCTTTAGTTTTCCAGTAAGACTCTGCGATCGATCTTAAGTTTTTGGGGCGTCCAGGGATGTCTTCGAAGGGTCTCGCTCCAGGAGTTGCGGATTCATGATCCCTGCTGCTGTCAGAAACTGCTTCGATTTTCTGAAATCTCAGAAGAGAATTCAAGGGTTTTGACACTTCATAACATGGGAGAAGACTTCTGCGGAGAGCAACTCTTGATAAAGAATACATAATGAAACCCAGTCTTTACTAGTAGTGTTCGTAACGCATTCCCAGGAGCAGAAAAGAAAACAATTAAGCTTGCGAAATAAGTTTGCAAGTTGAAAACATTCGAACTGGTGGCTGTGGAGCCGTTCCGTGTACATATGGCCTGGCCACAAAGTCCTTTTCGCTTTTCAAAATGGCGAACCTTGATGGTTTGTTGTTTCTTTTATATTTCGGACAAGGATTGCCTTATGGCTTTCAAGTAAAACTTCTACCTTTGCTTCTTAGGAAACATAACTTTTCATTGTCAAAGGTAGGCCTTAGCCGCCTCTTAAGTGTACCATGGATCTTCAAATTCATGATAGCCCCTTTGATTGATAATTTATGGTCTTTCAACTCTTGGATTACTTTGGGCTCTTTCGCCATGGCCCTGATTTGCTTTACGTCAGCCTGGGTTGGAGAATACAATACTTATTTAATTCTCTTTTGCGTGTTATGGATGAACGTAACATCTGCTGTACAGGATGTTGCAGTGGATGCCTACGCAATTAGCCTGCTAAAACCTGCAGATCTTGGTGAGGAGACATTGACAAGTTAAATTAAAGAGTTCAATTAATGCAAAATGATTCTGAAAAAGTATGAAATAAAATTGAATTTTCACTTACAAGATCTAGGAAAGAAGGTTGGTGTCTCTTTCCAAAATGTTAGCTTTAAACTACTGCCTTCTTGAAGAATTTTTGAGTACTGTTCAGGACAACATTTTCATATTGAGTGGTACATGTTAAAGTGTCACCTGTATTGTTCCATTTGTGCATGCAAGGTAACTCACAGAACTCCCTCCCTCTTTGGTAAATATGGGATGTAACCTTAGAGGAAAATCCTTCTGAATTTGTTAAAATGTTGTTTGAGTCATCAAGAACAGTTTGTGACCTTACAAGACCCCTACAACCAGTTGTAATACTGCTAGTCACAAGGGTAACATTTTGTTCCATTTCCAGGAAAGGGAAGCACACTACAAGTGGTTGGTTACAAGGTGGGTGCATTATTTGGTGGAGGTATTCTTTCTTGGCTCAGTGCATACTGCAGCTGGGAATGGCTGTTCACTCTCTGGGGCTCTTTTTACACTGTCATATTAATCATCTCATCAATCAACATTAACAATAGAACCTGTTTACAAAATGAAGCAACAAAAGCAACTTCATTAGAGAATCAAGGAATTAAAGGACATCAGTTATGTTCATCTACTTCAGTCACAAATGATAATACAAGTGGCAAGCTTAGTCCTCTACAGTATATCAGAACTACTATTACAACTGTTGACTTCTCATGGCTGATGTTCTGTGTTATGACATACAAATTAGGCGAGCAAGGTGTTGTTAGCATGCTGCCTTTGTATCTGATTGATCAAAGAGTCCCTCAAGAACAAGTAGGAGTTATAGTTGGAATATTTGGTCAATTGTTCTCAATAGCTGGTTCAACCTTAGGAGGCTGGATTGTTAGTCTGCATTATGCAAACAGGTATATTGTGAATGTTTAACTTATAACTAACATCTGTATAATGTTCTGTCTCATTTGAATGACATTCTATAGTAACAACAAAGAATGAATGAATGAATGAATGAATGACTAGTTTATTAAACTCTCTGGCAGTAAAAGACCTGAATTATCGAGTGTATTTTACAATCTTGAGGCAACTATTATCCAAAAACTAAAAGGTAATGACTATAACAATGATAATAACAATTCAATCATTTAAAATATTTAAATGTAAAGAAGTCCTCCATTCTCTTTGTCCTACATATCTGAATGTTTCAGAAGAGATAGTACTTTTGTGTTGTAAGTCGTAATTAGGTGCGTGTAGGAGTGAGCTGGGGAGCAGATGATGCAGTGGGTGCCTGGGGGACTTCATTTTTGCCACGTATTTATAGCACAGGTCTACTCTTCTGTCATCTAGCCTATCTAATTTACCTAGCTGTAAGGCATATGAATATGACTCAGCCTCAGGGTAAATTATATTAAGCACCCTTTTTCGGACTCGCTCTATGGGGGACAGAGGACATTAAAATTAATGCCTAACATACTCTCCTCAGAAAGGTCACAAAATAACAAATATTAATCAAAACAGATGTGTGGAATTGAGTGGTATGTCAACAGTAAACAAAGAGTAACTATTATGGTAATATGTAAAAATTAGAATGGAAATGAAATGAATTCTTGAGAGTTGAGGAAAGTGTTTATCTTCATTCATTATTCTACTATGGCATACTACAAGACTTCAGAAACTTTTTAAGACATTTATCTGTTAAAAGCCCTTAGTCACTTTCAACAATTGTATATTTTTACTGCAGTTTGCAAGTAGACAGTTGACCACTTTCATAAATGGCTGCTGGATTAATGTTCTTTTGTTTACATTTGAATTAGCCTTTTTGGCCTCGTTTTCCAGTACAAAATTCAAAAGAATACATCATCTCAAGCAAGGCCAGAAAGGCTAATTTAAATTTAAACAAAAGAATATTAATCCGGCAGCCATTTTTGAAAGTGGTCAATAATTAATAAATAGTAGTTACTTGATTTTGTATTAGACACTGCATCAACTGCACTCAATATTGAAGAAGCTCTGTTTTAATTTTGAATTTAAGGTCATGGGTGATTGAAGTACTCATATGGACTTCATATGCAAGACTCGTACCACTTCTCTCACTTTGGTTGTTGTCCTTAACACAATTTACTAAATCTGGAATTGCAATCATTGAATGTTTCATTCAACTAAGTGGTGGAATAATCACAACAGCAACATTCACACTCATGATGCAAAGTTCACAAGATTCTTTACCTGGTACTAAAGCAACACACTGTGCTGTTCTTGCTACATCAGAAGTGCTGGGCAAATTGTTGATGATTTCCTTATCTGGGATACTAGTAGATATTACTGGTTACCAGCATTTCTTTGGATTGTGTTTTTTATTGGCATTGTCATTTCTTCCTGTTTTAAAGTATGGCCTGGCATTTGCAAGGAAAAAATCTTCCTAAAGAATACCAAAATCCTAAATTTTTTATCTATACCTTCAAAGATCACAGTCAAATATTTCATACAAAATAAAATTCACAGCATACATGTAGATTTTAAAAATATGTAAGCTCAGTTATGTATCCAATAAAATGCACTGGAAAAATATTTGAGTTTGATTTTGATTTTTTACAATGCACATTCTCTTACCAATCTTTAAAAGAGAAGAGCTAAAGAATGCTACATTTAAAGAGTTTGAGTTGAGGAACAGATAATTTCCTCTGTGTATGATCAATCCCTCTTACCCCACAAGTGCTGTGGTAAAACCTAAATTAATTACTATCTATTAAATTAACATCACACCATTTCTATTCTCAGATTAAATACCATAAACATATGCAGTGTTCTTTCTAACTGTTTCAAGGACCTCTTCTAAAGCAACACCCCTTATTTCTGCAATTCTCTGAGCAGTAAATATTGCCATTCCAGGGTTGCTGAACTTGTTATGCTTATCAGCCACTTGTGATGGAACAAAATATGGTGCATCAGTTTCCAGTAATAGCTTTTCTAATGGCACATCAAATGCAAGTTCATGAATATTTGTAGCTTTACCAAAAGTAACCACTGCTGTCATTCCTATGAAAAGGTTTGGAAATTGTTGGAAAAATTTCGTTGCAAATGCACTTGATCCAGTGTAACAATGCAAATGGATTTTCCAGTCTTGTGGTAGACAGGATTTAAGTATTTCCAGTGTGTCTGCTTCGGCATCACGACAATGGACAACCAAAGGTTTTCCTAGTGTGACAGCCCAGTTGGCTTGTCTAGTAAACACTTCTTTTTGAACTTCAGGAGGAGATGTGCAATGTGAAGAGTAATCAAGCCCAACCTCACCTAAGGCAATGGCTTTGGGATGATCCAAACACTGAATTATTTTGGCTTCCAAGTCATCGTTGTAATATTTGGCACTATGAGGATGACAGCCAAATGTTCCCCAAACATTCTCTTGCGAAAGTACATCACACCAAGTGCCAAAGGACGAAAAAGCTGCGGGATCACAAAATGTTGTGATGCAACCCTCAAAATTTGGTGGGAAGGAATACCTTGTCTGGAACTCTTTCAAACTTCCTGTGTGTCTAAGTCTTTCGAAAACATACTCTAAATGACAGTGAGTATCAATAAACATTGATTTGCTGACTGGAAACTGCAACTCCATTTGCCGGCTACTTGCAGAGTTTTTTGAGTGCCTCGCAGATGCGGTGTCAGCTGTATTCTCAGAAGTGAGCATGTTGGGACAGTCCTTCCGAAAATGACCGTGCCTTCCACAAGCAAAACATTTCACATTTTGCAAATTATGGCTTGCCTTTTCGGGGCAATCTCTCTTTAAGTGACCCGTCTTACCACACTTGAAGCACTTTCTGCCATCCATTGCCAACTGAAGAGGAAATTTTGAAGTCAAATCGCGCCTTCTCGTTTATGCCTTCGTTCTGGGATGACTGAAAGGCTCGGATGCTCAGCAGCTTTCCTTTACTCCAGAATAAACGGAGTGGCTACAAAGCTATTATTCTCATTCCAACATGGCGGCAACTTTGGAGACGTATGTAAATCGTATCCTTTGAAAACTGAATCGCTTCCATTAAGAATCGAAATTATCTACTTTGAGTCCCATGCACTGGTTGAAAATACACATAGCTTTTTCAGGTAGCATATGTTTGAATCAGATTGATCTGGTATACTTTCAGTCTACCATCGAATTCTGTTCAGCGCGCGTGTTCCCCTAGCCAATGTGCGCACGGGATGTTTCAGAATATTTGCAGCGTTGAGAAATCTGCAGGATGATCTTCGGCAGAAAAGCACTTTGTACATTCTTACGCGCAAGTCTGGATCTGGGTTAAAGTATACATTCTTAACACAAGAATATAGATACCGTAGCAGTTATTACACAAGATGGAAGAATGATTGTGGTAAGATTTTGTATATAATTATTATGCAGTAAATTACTTTATGTATTTTGAAAGTGTAAAACCAATCGTAACTTCAGTAATAACTCCATTAGGTGGTGGCGACTGGCGAACTGCGAGGCTTCTGAGATGTTGATTCCTCTGCTTCTTCTACCGATATTTCTTGTTTTTCTTTTAGTTCTCATTTGTTCTCTCCTATGTATCTTTGTCCTCGATCGCAGTTGCCATTGTTAAGTTCAGCTTTGGTTTTATTGCACTCCCACCGGTGAGAGAAACAAGGTAATTTGGGTTTTATCAACTGAGTTGATGGCGAAAATTGGCCACCCTAAAGAGTTTCAAAGCTGACATTTCGAGCGTTAGCCCTTCGTCAGAACGAATTGTACCCTTCGTCAGAGCGAATTATACCCTTACCATCTCTTTTTTATACTAGAAGCAATTTTTTTTTTTCAAGAGTAGGTAAAATTCTTTACAGAAATTATTTGTTGACTTGTTTCAGGGAACCCTCAAAGGGTTTGATCAGACAGTGAATTTAATTTTGGATGAGAGCCATGAGAGAGTGTTCTCATCAGGGAGTGGAGTGGAGCAAGTAATGCTGGGTCTTTACATCATAAGAGGAGACAATATGTAAGCCAATTATCATATTAAAGGTTGATACTTTTAGTATCAAGGCTCCACAAAACTTTATCCCATGCTTACCTATACAAGTATTTTTACTGCTCAAGTTTTTATCTTGTAGGGTTATCTTCCAGGTGGAAAGGCCTGATGTTGTAAAGGCCTGATCTTGTAAAGAGTAATTAAAATTTGAATAATTTGGATATATCAACGTAGTTGAAATGGTAAATTGGCCACCGTAATGATTACAAAAGCTGACGTTTGGAGCGTTAGCCCTTTGCTCTGACGAAGGGCTAATGCTCGAAACGTCAGCTTTTGTAATCATTGCAGTGGTCAATTTACCATTTCAACTTTGTTGATATATCCAAATTATTTTGTTACCCCCACTGACGCAGCCCCAAACAGTTTCTTTAGAAACTATCAGCCTTTATAAAATTTGAATTACCTGATCAAAGTCATTATCAGAGTTTTATTAATCTGGGCACCTTCCACAAGTTTGCAAGCTCCTCACAAGTTCCTCCACCCCTCAAACTGTTTGTTCCTTGTGGTGACATTAAGGGTGCAACCTCCTGCACAATGAAAATCCTTTGCCTGATGCTTTATTTGTGTGCAAGCTGCCAATTGATGCACAGATGAAGTTATCAAACCTGTCTTGAAATTTATTTGTTTTCAGTGCTGTCATAGGAGAAATAGATGAGGAAGCAGATTCTAACCTAGATTTGAGTAGTATTCGTGCTGATCCACTTAATGCTGTAGTTTACTAAGAACCTGTCCGATGAGCTTGCTCTTCAATGAACTTGAGGTGCTGGTCACAGAGGGATGAAGAAGAAGAATCAACATGGACTCAACACATCAGTGAACTAAATTAATTTACCAAACTGTTATGTTGTGTTGAGAGTGTAAGAGAGCCACATAAAACCCCTTTCTTGAGAGAAGAAATGATCATGGCTTAGTTTGTAGAATAGTGAACCATTTTATGACAGTTGTAAGTTGTGTTGGCAACAATCTTTATTGTTTATACTGGGGACCTCGTCAAGAGAGTTCTGAGAGGCAGACTATTTGAATTCTGAAGGGAAGTATCAGGAATAAATAGATATAACCAGGTACTTACTTTAAGAATAACTTTCGGAGCAACCAAATCACACAATTTCTGCTGAAAAGTTGAATGGTCTGCTTTCACCTTAATTTATGACAGATGTTTGCATGTTCCCATGCCACAAGCTTTAGTTTGCCAACTAGCTAAACGATTGTGAAAGAAAAGTGGGCAATTTACATGGGTAAATTGGTATCATAAGTTGTAGACACAGGGCTGTCTTTTCCTCTGAATGCAACTATGGTTAATACAAAGGGTAGATTTCACCATTCTCTTCACTACAAATTCAACCTAAGCTTATGTAAATAGACCCAACATGCAATTTCCCTTGTGATCTCTGCCCTGGGGTTAATTACCAAGGTCACCCACAAACCTTTAGCTGCTGTTGTTAGCTTTACTTTACTGAAACATTGTAAAAGAACTTCTCGATTGTAGCCCAAAACATAAATTAAAAAGTCATAAGTGCAAGACATTTACTGTAATTGTAGTGGTAATGAAATTTAAAAGTATTTTGAAAACCATCCAAAAACGCCTTGCCTCTTTCGGCATGTTTTCATAGAAACCCAACTCAAGTAACTGCTGTGCCACCCCACCCCTAAACCTTACACCTTTCTGCTATGGCCATTAGAGAACTCAGGTGTTCTCTGTCTGACTTAAACAACTCTGAGCCGCCGAACCGGTTATGTGTGCGGGGTCCTGATTCTTAAACAACGAATACAATCTAACTATTGGTGAGAGGGTGTCCCATCGAGGTGGAAAACAGAGTAGGATGAGAACTTTGCGATTCCCAGCCAAGTCTACATATTTGGTATTATAAAATGGACTTGAAATATACTTTAAAACTTTTTGTACGAAACTGTGCTGACTGTGTGTGATATCCCAGAAATTCAACAATTTATTAGAAGAAAACAACAATAAGAGCGATACAATGGGATATTTCCTAAACGTGTTCATGGTTTGGCGCAAATCTTCTTTCCACTGCCCGCTTATTTCCCGACGGGACGGAATAATTTTTAAGTCCTTGCGTTTACCAGATGTGGGAGAGAAAAACTTGACTTCCTAGTTTGCACATAAGTTTTCATATTATCTTTTGCAGTTTGGGTGTTATACCAATTATGTGCTCAAAGTTTTATTGAAAAAAGTAATTCAATTCTGAACGATGCTTTGATATTCATTTAAGAGGTGGAAAAAAGTGAGATACGGGGTCTCTTGAGCTGTTTAAGTGATTAAGTAAATTGTGTGGGCCTATCACGGCCTTAGTTGATTTCAAAACGAAAAAACAACTAACAATTGCGTTTTGAGGAGTAGATTGTGGGTCTTATCTTTGATCCACATGGTTGAACAACACAGTTTACATGGCTGCAAAAAATTTAATGCGATCATTTAGTTTCTTGTAACAAGGAAAAAGCATGTTCTACAGTTGTAACTCCAGACATCTAGGAAGTCGCCCTTCAGCTGTTCTACACGATTCATCGCCACGTGTTGTTCGGAAACCATACCNGGAGGGTACAGGAATGATCGACAGAGCGTTAGTTTTAGATATATTTACGGACCACCGAGGATGTGTAACCAATTTGAGCCCGGTTGCGTTACATTAAGCAAGGTCAAGCTGTGTACCATCGTAAGACCGTGCGTAATACAATTGAACAGGGACGGACATACGGCGGGCAGAATTGGAAATACGTGGTAATGTAATGTAATCTTACACCATAAGTTCTTTAATATTGTTACACCATAAGTTCTTAATATTGTAATGTAATGGGTTCTTACACCACAAGTTCTTTAGAGCTTTACAGCACGGCTATGCAATGATACATTTCGTGTGGTGACTTTGAGGAGGAGGAGATTGTCAAGATGGAAGTTGAAAGACGTAACTAGCAAGTTTATGACATTTCAAGCTGGTTGGAAAAATTGAGGACTAACTTTGATCTTGTAGTCAATTTATCTGTCTTCCAGGGTATATCACTTGCAAAGTTGTACACACGTCAGTATGATAACATGAAAGCTGTTAAAGAATTTAGGCGAATCTTAGAATCACGGGCGATGTTTTTTAACCCTCATCCCTTTCCTGCCAATGAATCTGACGAGGTTGCATTTTTCCGCTGTAATAATGAAGAGGCATCAAGGTTGTTTTGCCCCAACAGATGGAAAGCTATGAAAGCATGGATCGAAGCTACAACAAAGGTAAACACATGCACATTATCAAAAAATCTAGACGACTAAAATTACTGAGTTTTTATTTCAAAAAACTGTCTGCTGCATTTTCGACTGATTGATGTTAGTCGTGAACCATCTGCGAAATTTACAACGTAGGCGTTGTGATAATTGACCACAGTCGTGAGTAACACAACTATCACAATGTCGGGTTTTTTGATGAACTTTCCTTCTAGTTGAAAAAGACCCTGAACGCTTTTCTGTGCTCCAAACTGAGCGAATTGAACTGAAGTAGACACGTTGACAGCGCCAACCGTGAAAAAGCATGCGATTACCAACATTAACATCAACATCAACAGATTTGGTTTTCATTCACAGGCAATGAAATTCATCAGGCCTAACCTGTCTCCGCTATTTTATGGCAATGGACCAATGAAAACCATTCCGGACTGTACAATTAAGGTAGTTCCCTGGTACCACTCAGGGGCAGTTTTTCACCAGTATGTTGAATCCAAGAGAGCTAGCAGCCAGACTCCTTCTCTGCAAATGCTGCTTTTTTTTTTATGGACAACTTTGGACCAAAGTACACTGAGTGGACCACAACTGCTCACGAACAACTACCGGGGTATCACCTTGAGGTGAGAAAGAGCGCTTAGAGGTCGTGAGCTTATAAATAATTCGCCATTGGCAAATGTGCAAAGAAAACCGATGTGTTAGAGCTTTCACTAAAATTTACAGGACCATGTTTTTTTCTGTGGACAATATTTAATTTCACGTTATGATCACATAGGTACGCGGTTTTCTTGAAAACTTCAGAGCCAAATGCGGAGACGTGATTGCTTGGTCAAACAATTTCGCAGAGAGCCTTATGATGTCATTTCTACAAGAGGGGGTAAAGGGGGTGCGGAGAGGTCAAAGGGGGTGTTTTCAAAGGCAATGTTTCATGCGTCATAGCGAATTAAGAAATATTGGGTTGTGTGTGTTTGTGTGTTTGTATGTAGCGTTGCAGTTGTGTCTTCCGTTGCAGTCATGTCTTCACAACTAATAACCAATAGGATGCGGATTTATTTCTTCTAATCAAAAGGCGTCGTGAACGTGTCTTCTGCTTGTCACTTCCCAACTAGGGGAGGGATGCAATGCAAAATTGTAAGAAGATCGTTAAGATTTCCGCGCTCGAAGGTTAAGAATTTCAGGTAAAACTACAGAATACAGGGCCACTTATTTACATCTCATGGAATCACAATGCATCCTTTTGTTTTCTGCCTCGTTATTCAAAGCATGCCGACAAGGTATGGGATTCACCTTGTCGGCATGCTATGAAGAACGACGCAGAAAATATTACAACCATTCCTCAAAGATCGCGTTCAAGTTTCGGGCTAAATACTGTAGGTTTCGTGAGCCTGCATGATAAAGCGTCCGAGTAACTACTAACCTGGAATCATTGAATCCTTCTGTGTCGAGGGGTGATTTTTTTTTTTTATTATTTTATTTTGCTTGGGACATGCAAAACTAGATGATACATAACTAAAAAACGAGACAGATCTCGGTGTTTCAATGACCGAAAATTTCTGATTTTCTTTCAGCCTCAATATAATTTATCATCAATGTTACATGTAGCAGTCTCAGTGTCTACATTGATAGTTATTATGGATACAATTGAAGACATGTATTCATTGTGTAACGTTGCTGGGAAACGAGGCTAGTCTCGTCCCACGACAAAAGGAGGGGAGCGGGAAAATCGGGTCGGCCATCTTGTTGTGTTGATATAGTGTCGCCATCGCTAATTGTATTAAAGGAGGTTTATTAAACGTTACAATTGTAATTGTATGGGACTACGCAAAAATTCATATTCTAGTAGGGTTGATGTCAAACATTACATATCCTGGAAAGTTGACTCATAAACCGCTAACACGTATGATGAAGGTCTGGTCTCTTGCGCTCCAGCAAGAAACAGTTGGGTAATACAATGCACTAAATCATTCTCTTTGCTTGCNCAGGGTATATCACTTGCAAAGTTGTACACACGTCAGTATGATAACATGAAAGCTGTTAAAGAATTTAGGCGAATCTTAGAATCACGGGCGATGTTTTTTAACCCTCATCCCTTTCCTGCCAATGAATCTGACGAGGTTGCATTTTTCCGCTGTAATAATGAAGAGGCATCAAGGTTGTTTTGCCCCAACAGATGGAAAGCTATGAAAGCATGGATCGAAGCTACAACAAAGGTAAACACATGCACATTATCAAAAAATCTAGACGACTAAAATTACTGAGTTTTTATTTCCAAAAACTGTCTGCTGCATTTTCGACTGATTGATGTTAGGCGTGAATAATCTGCAAAATTTACAATGTAGGCGTTGTGGTAATTGACCACAGTCGTGAGTAAAACAAATATCACAATGTCGGGTTTTTTGATGAACTTTCCTTCTCGTTGAAAAAGGCCCTCAACGCTTTTCAGTGCTCCAAACTAAGCGAATTGAACTGAAGTAGGTAAGCTGACAGCGCCAACCGTATAAAAAAGAGGGCCACTCTAGTGTAACTAGAGTGACCGACATGTTTTAGCAAGAGTAACGAGATCATAATCCTTTTAATGTCGATCTACAAACTTGATCCTGACGGGTTTCTCTGGAACTGCTGATAGCTTCTGATACATTTCCAGTGGCTCGTGGTGATACTCCAAACGAAAACGTTGAATAACCTACAATGTGTACGGCGAGGATTATTATCAGAACTCAACATGGCTAGGCCTATGGAAAAGGATTATTGCCTCTACAATTGTCAACTTTATTTTTCCTGTATAGGACCCCATTAAGTATCTTGCTACAAGTCCAAACATTGCACACAAGTTGCCCCTCACCCCCTCACACAACCTGAAGTAGAAATCGATTCTATTTTGCATAATTCAATGACTACTCCAACAAAAGTTCATTCAAAAGAGATGTCATAACTAACCGCAAAAGGAAAACAAAAAAGACTTTTTGCGCTTTTGCGTTCAACATCATGCTAATACTTTTTAAAACCATGCCAGACTTCTTGGTTCATTCCGGATGACGGATTCCGTACACTTTCTGCGTGGGTTATGACAGACTTCTGGGGTAAGTTCGCAAGCGTGGAAAGTAATTAATCTAATCTTTTTTCTTTGGACATTGTTGCCAAACAAATACTTGCCTACCTTTGCAACCAGAAGATATGTTTCCAGCTCTGCTACTCTACTGCCTGTAACAGAAACCGAAAAAAAAAAAAAAAACATTATGGAGAATGTACGAATTTTTTTAACCCGATCAATCTATTCGAGTCCATTTATTTTCATGGTACGTCCTTCTCCCAATTGAGCAGTTTACCTATATCATGTTTTTTCACTATTTTATTCTATTTTATTAGCTTCACCTAATTATCTTAGCCAGGGAGACCACTACAGTCTTAAAGGCTGCTAGTTTCTAGTTTTCAGAGCGAAAGCCCTTCGCTCTGAAGGGCTAACGCTCGAAACGTCAGCTTTTATAATCGTAACGGTGGCCAATTTACCATTTCAACTTTGTTGATATATTCAAATTATTTTACTTCAGTCTTAGCCAATTACAGTAGATCCCGCGTCAACAATGACAAGGCCTAACCAAATTGACTAATTAATGGAAGCAGGAGACGGGACCTACGGTTTATTCGTCCTTATCCGAGAAGACTAGAATGTCTATCCATTTCTTGATATTATAGAAAGGTAGCACATTCTCCTCAGTTATTTCAAGTGTGTTTAAGAGGGTTAAATGTTGAGTGTTGGTCCGGCCGGGGCTCGAATCCTCGACCTCCCGCACAACAGTCTGGCGCTCTAACCAATTGAGCTAACCGGGGGACGGTTAATATATACAGGTAAGTATGGCACGTTTCCAAAATCGCCCCACCCATTCCTCTCTGGTAAACCTCTTGACTATGGCGACCTGACTTAATTTCATAATGAAGATCAAATCATTGACACCTGGAAACTTCTTTGGTGCACACCCTTGGTTACTGCCCGGATGTAAACGTAATTCATTGATGGCAAAAAGCAATTTTTATCGGAACCAAATGACATACTTTTCGAATTGAAAAAGTCATTTGACCACCGTGGCAGATTCGGAAAAACTAATGTTCGGAGAATTCTAGTTACCAAAAGTTTACTATGAAGAAGGAACGTGTTTACGCTAAACGCCAGTAAGAACAACTCACCAATGCACATGCGCGGACCAAAGCCAAACGGAAGGAATGCAAACGAATCAATATCTTTCTTGTTTTCTCTCAGCCAGCGTTCAGGTTTATAATCTGATGCATTCTTGAAGTATTTTTCTGAGGCTGCTGTGGCAAGGAATTCCAATTGAATAATGGTCTGTGAAATTATGACGAACAAAAGTAAACAAGAGAGTTAAAAAACAGACTGGTCTCTCTTGACGTCATCCGTCAATACTTCACAAAGAGAAAGGAAGACCCCTCGCATGAGTGATCCTCGCATGAGGCATCGCAGATACCTCTTTAAGGTACTGAAACGACGCCTCATGAACGTCTTTGGAAGATATCTAACCCCGCTGGACCCACGTTAAGTCAGGTTTCAAGACAGAACTAGCATTATCAGAGACCAAGAAAACTCTTTGAGAACCTTAGAATGAGAATGCCATATATCTTATTAACCAAACGCGAGGGCCGTACTGGGAGAATAACGGGCCGAGGTCTTGACAGTACGGACCGAGCGCAGCTCGGTCCGTACAATAAAGACCGAGGGACCATTCGGGACAGTGCCCGGTCCAATACTGAGAGAATATTGACCGGCAATAGAGCACTTTGATTGGTTGATTTTAGTTATTAGCCCTCTGACTGCCCGAGTCGTGTATTAATTAAAATTATCGCCGAAGTAGACGGCATTAAAGAGGTAAGATGAAACCACAAAAGGGAAACCTGATTGAGGATGGAGAAGATAACAATTGCGATAAAGTTGGTTTAAGTTCTCAGACACTTAGTTGAAAACTGCTCTAAACGAGCTTCAAAATAAAGACGATGTCTATGGCAGGTTCCTCGTGTCCAAAGATCAGTGGAGTGGTCGTCCCTGCCTACAGGCCCTCTGACTTGGAACGAACTGACCGCACTTTAACCGTATGGTTTGGATTCATGTAACGGAGACAAGAAAGACAAGAAAATGATGATAACAAAATAGACGTAAAGTGACAAAACCTGCACTGTTTAAACAAAAAAACATCAGTAGCACTAAATTCGTCCCAGTTCAAGAATGGACGCAGATGGTATGAAGTTAATTTTAGGTACAAACCTGTGCAGGAACCAAATATCCACTCAAAACCACATCTTTCTCCAATACTCTTCGATTAGAGGGGAAAACTGGTGTCAATCTATGAAAGAAATGGAAGAGTTTAAAAGATATCACTTCAGGATTGTACATTCAAGTTTGAATGCACTCTCTGGCAAAATCCACTTTGAAACATGAACTTGCCTTGCAGATTCTTTGGCACAAGCCTTGAGATAAGACAATTTCGCAAGACTTCCAGCCGTAGCATCTCCATGTTCACCCAGAATACTAGATATTTCCTGATAAAGGATTTCTTGAATTTCAGGATTTCTTGCCAGGTGATACAGTGTCCACAGAGTGGTGTAACTTGTCTTTAAAGGAAAAAATAAGCCTGCGTGAGGTAGAGAGGCCAAAAGAACCCGAAAGAGGTATCCAAATTTTGACCTGGGTGCTGCATTCCCCTTATGATTAGAAGTGTACCCTTCAATTGTCATTTATCCTTTTACCCAAAATAATCACCAAACCCCTTTGCCCTTAATGATAACTCGTCGGAACATGGCAATCACTTTTCTAGAAATTCATTTATTTTTGTGCACGCATTTTCATGTACATGTTATTACGAACGATGAGCATGTTGCCAGAAGTTAATTCAGGAGAACGACACTGGCTCAATGCGCATGGGAGTGTGCAGTACACTTAAGCAGTTCTTTTGTTGAGTTGAAGATTTCTTGCATGGTTCACTTGATTTCCAGCTCACGCCCATTGATAACAGCAACGATTAGCCAAATGTACACTCACAGAGGTAAAAAAACAAGTCTAGTCAAAGTTAATAAATCAGTTTTTAAATGAAGCATGTAGGGTTTATGATTCTGTTTGTAAGGTTGCGAAGATCATTTTCTGTCAAGTTAAATGATCACGTTAGCACAGCTCAACAGATCATACCGTCTCCTCACCAGTAAAAAAATATTTTTCCTTGTTCATCTTTGGGTTTTGTCACTAGGTATAATGTAACTATTAACAGCAGTTGACACCAATTTGTCAAAACATAAAGAATAATAAACCAACTTACTGTGTCAACACCTGCTGCAAACATAGTAAAAGCGTTGGCATAAATTTCTTCCAGGGTCAAGTCCTCACGTGTCAGCAAGTAGGTTAAAAGCGAAACAGCTATCAATAAACAAATAACAAATGGTTGTTAGTTCATTACTCATCTGTACATTTACATCTTATTTGTTGATCCTAAAACCAGAGAATTGATAAACTAGGTTGACCTAACTGAATACAATTTGCACTTTTGAGTCGTAGTAATTTTTTTGAGGTAGGGAATACTTGGAAACACCCTTCTTAATTCTAAGTTGTCATAGATGTAGGTGGTGTTGCTATTATGACTTGTGGCAATGGGTTGGGAGGCGATATTCATTGTGGTGTGTTAACATTTCAAAATGCCACACAATTTTTCTGAATCTTATGGTTTAATATGTAAGAGTGGTCATGCGTTTAGGGTGCTAAGCTTTTAACTATGGTGGTCCCTGGTTCAACCCACTCCACCCCGCTCACTGGATTTGTTCTCCTGATTTGTTCTTGGTTCTCATTTCATTGCAAATAGAATGAAAGAGGTAATGCTCCTCGGACAGAATTTTGCACAGCCACTTTAGCAAAGACTAAGGCATCATTGCAATCCTGATTTTACCTTTCAGTTCTTCAGAATCATCTGATCCTTTATGGGCCATTTCTTTAAGATCTTTCATTTTCTTATCAATATATCCTTGTCCAATTTCAAATGAAGTGTCCACTGCACGCTCAAGCTTGACAAAATTTGGGGTGTTCACGTAATGATATAAATGTTTCTCCAAAATTCCAAAAACAAAAGCATGGAGACTTTGAAAAACATCATGAATCGCTCCAATGAACCTCATGGCTTCTTCACTGGGTGGATCATTGTATAACCCAACTCTAACATCAAATACCAATGTACCCACACCTCAATTAAAACATATAAACAAAATAAACAAACATATTAGACATAAAAAAACAGAGGTCAAGAAAAATATACCTATCCTTGAACAGGAAACACTTATTAAGTGCCTCTGACCATAAATATTGAGAATCTGCCAACAGTTGCAAAATTTTGCAATTCGTTTTATTTTTTCCAAAGGACCCTTTTCATGAACCTTTTTCAAAAATTATATCAAAAAGTTCTATTGCACTTTTTCTTCTCCAAAAAATCAAAAAGTTCAAAATACACCTAAATGGCTGTTGTCTCCCCCGTAAGGCAATGAAAAATTATGCAACTTTGGCAATTTTGTATGCTACAATGCAATGTAATCACACTTTTAAATTGTGTGTCCTAGCAGATGGTCCTTTTGTCTCTTGGAAAATATTAATTTCTTGTTATGTTGTTATGTTTAAGTCTGAATGATGACCCGTTGAAACAAAGTACTTCACGCCTCTTTCACATAGGTAAAATAAAGGTAAACTTCAGTGGCCTGTACACAGGTCTGCCATATATACTTACAAATCCTAATGTACATAATTGTAAAGCTTTATCCTTGTATTTCAATTCCACCAATTTTCTGTTCGAGCCTGCAATAAGCTGCACTTCCAGGTTTAACAGAGTTTGAGCTATTTTGTTAAAAATGCAATACGAACCCCTGAACAGCTGTCATGACCCATTTAAAGGCCTTTAAAAAGGTCTTGTATGATATATTTACAAATCAAAAAATATATATAATTATATCTTCATTAAGTTTTATCTTTGTAGTTTAATTCTTCAAAGTTTCTTTCTTGGCCTGCCATAGGCGGCGTGTCCAGCTTTCAAAGGGTTTGGGCTAAAAAGACAAAAAATGTAATGCGATCTGTTGAACAGCTGTCACACAAGTATTAGGTACATTCCTTGCCAAGCTGAAAGATTAGCCTTGACCTCTTGCGTGATAGCCATTCTATGGATCGCATTACATTTTTTAGCCCAAACTCTTTAAAAGCTGGATGCACCGCCTATGGTGGGCTAAGAAAGAAACTTTGAAGAATTAAACTACAAAGATAAAACTATAAGATAACATATATTTTGGTTTGTAAATATATCATACAAGACCTTTTTAAAGGCCTTTGAATTGTGACAGCTGTTCAACGGTTCGCATTGAATTTTTGACAAAATAGCCCAAACTCTTTTACACCTAGACATACCACTTATGGTAGGTCTGGAAAGAGCATAGGAGGAATTAAAATACAAGAATAAAGCTTAAAGATAATGCATATTATGATTTTTAGGTATATATGGCAGACCTGGTCACAAGCCACTGAAGTTGACCTTTATTTTACCTCCACGAAAGAAACTCGAAGTACTTTATTTTAACTGGTCATCGTTCAGACTTATAAATGTATCAACATAACAAGAAATTAATATTTTCCGAGAGATGAAAAAACCATCTGCTAGCACACAAAATTTGAAAGCGGGATTACTTCGCGGTGTAGCGTACGAAGTTGCCAAAGTTGCTTAATTTTTCATTGCTTTACAGGGGGGACAATGGCCATTTAGGTGTATTTTGAAGTTTTCGATTTTTTGGAGAAAAAAAGCGCGATAGAACTTTTTGATATATTTTCAAAAAAGGTTCATTAATTTTGTCGTTTAGAAAAAATAAAATGAATTACAAAATTTTGCAACTGTTGGCGGATTCGCAATATTTACGGTCAGTCGCTCTTAATAATGGACTAAAGATAATATACACTTGATTTTTTAACAATCTAAAAGCATTGAAGAAAACCCAAGTCCAAAACACAGAACCATCCTTGAAGAGAAAAACCAAAACTTTCATGAGGTGGCTCAAAACTTCAGTTCTTTATATTTAACTAATTAATCAATACCACTTCAATTTTTCATATTCCCTTGAATAAAACCAAGAGTCTTAAGAAAGGTTAACTTTTTATTAATAACGTTTGATCATCTTTATGTCTCATTAGGTTACCATAATGATAGCAATACTACAGACTCTTTGAAACACACTCAATTTTAGCTTAACGTGTCTGTTATTCAAACACCAGGGAGTGACCACAACTTTTTATCAATTAATGCATCTCACTAAGTACGTCAATATTCATGTTTTTGCCAAGCTTTCAAAAAAATCTGTACATATCAATTCATAGCCACCTTTAATTACCAAAAGGGCAAGAAATCTTTTAAAAATTGATGCTTTCTTTAGTTTAGACATGCAAACTTACTCTCCGTAGCCCATTTACTCAGTTCTCCCTCCAGATCAGGAATTTCTCCTCCCAATCCACTGGTCTCTTTTAGATTAGCAAGTCGTTTAAGTGTATCATATGTAACAGCGTTGAAGTTGTCAATGTTTTCCTCCAACACTTTTGGACGCATCAGTTTTGGGGCTACTGCTTGTCGTATTCTTTGCCATTCTTTACCGTTTCTGTGAGGTGAAAATCAAAGAGTTAGAGCAGTAACTCTTAAAGGAACTTTATCTGGGTGACTCCCAGATAACTCAGGAAAGTTGACAAATAAAAAATCAAATGAGTGGTAAAGGGAACAAGTCTGAGCATGATCAAAATGTTTGATGTTTCTGCTGTTTCACACAAAACCAGTTAACAAATGGTAAACACCACAGCGTACACTATTGAGTTATGGATGCACACGGGAGGTTGCTAAGCATGAAAGAAGTGCAAGAGTCGCTCGAGGCGATAGCCAAGAGCGACTGTAGCTTCTTGAGTGCTTAGCAAACCTCCCAAGTGCATCCATAACTCAATAGTGTACGCTGTGGTGTTTACCATTTGTTTTATAACATAACATTGATACATTGTAGCTAAAGAGTTCCCTTTTATTTAACAAATCTTACGCGTCCAGAAAAAAAAAAAGCGCGCGCGGAAAAATAGTCTTTGCATTTGCTCACGTCAGCAGCGTACACCCATGGGCAAATGGAGGATGCTAAATTGACCAATCAGAGCGCGCGCTTTACTTTGGTTATGTTATAATTACCTTTCTTTGTGTACCCCCTGAAATTCTCACATATATATTATATCAAACTCCAAAAAAAAAAGGTGTATCTTGATCCTGTTTAGATTTGACATAACCATTAACTTGTATCAATAACACTGGTGTCCCTGTTGCAGCTAATAATGCAGAGTGATGCGTATCTCCTCAATATTTGACAAGCAGAGTGTGTAAAGTGTGTGACCCATTGCACATCAAGTTTCATCATATTTCTTGCTCAAATCTCAGTTACACAGCTGTGCAAGTGAGGACAAGTTGTAGACTGCATGTGTTATCATTGAACAAGTTAGAATTATAATAATGAGAAGTTTGATAAAAAGTTATGCAAAAGCCAGACAGCAAAGGCTTCTTACTTAAATTCACACAAACTTGAGCAAGCTCAGTTTGTTTCAGTACAAAGCCTTCAACCTGACAGAATGAGAAAGGATTAGGTAGCAAGCTCAAGGTTCTTGCCAAAAGAGAGTTTCTAGGTGAAATATACTTTCTGAAAGAAAATAATAGTCCATTTCCTTATCATTCGTAACACTGGTGCTGCCTTTCACTTCCCACATTCAGTGCACTCTGGGTGTGGCAAAAATCTATAAGAAGGGCCCTCACACTACCTCTTCACCCAATCCCAATCACCTGCCATTTCCTGCAGGTTTGTCTGTTGACATTTGGAGCCTCAGTGTTTCATGTTTTCTGTCCTCCCCACCAGAGAAACATAGCACTAGGATAGGTGCTGGGGAAAATACTTATCACTGTGACAACGTGAAACATCCTGAAATGTTCTGGCAGCTAGGCAACCTGTAGCTAGATGGAGAAATATGTTCTGTGATTGTTTAAAGCTCTTTGCAAGCTCGCCTCCACCAACTGCCACACTCCCAATATGATACAAAGAAATTGGAAAATGTACAGAGAGCAGTAGCACATTTCTATAAATGGGACTATAATTGCTCAGAATATATGAAAATCATATATTTGAACTGCGGTTAAAGAAACGGTTATGAGAACGATCTTCGCAGTGAGGAACATTATTTAAGCAATTATAGTGAAATTAAGACTGTACATGCCTGAATTTTTTTTCAGGTCTTCATTTCACTATTGCTTAAACAGTGTTACTACTATGTTGAAAGACCTGGAATGGGAATCCCTTGCTCTTTGCTGAAAACCAAGCCCATTTAATGACAATGTACAAATTTACCAATGACATTATTTATATAGATAAACCAAAATATTTGATACCACCATCAGAAACCCGCACCTGCAGATCTCATAATTTTAACTATTATCTCGAACAGACAAACAATGAAGTATTCAAATTTTCTTATGTTCCTTGGGTCATTGGAGAGTAGAATAGCTAGCCCACCACAGTTTCATCCACTAGATAAGTATGGATATAATTCAAAACCAAATTGAGCTCCTTCTTCAGAGAAGATTGATTTATATTTGAAATATTTATATTTATATTAATATATTTATTACATCAATCATATTTTTGATGACATTTTATGTATACTTATTACTTATTAGACACATTTTTATAACAAAGAATGTTATAAGAATTTGTTTTGACAAATCAATTTCAAAAGAATTCAATTAAATCCCCAAACGATTTGCTAATTTTAGTAACACTTGCAAGGAGTAACCACGAACTAAAGTGACGAGCAGAAGTGTAATTTGTGAAGGTTGACGCATAGCATCATTCAAACAGTTAAATATCACACCGACTCGCAAGCAACAGTCAGTAATGTACCTGAGTGGGGTGACAACAAATTTAACCTTAAAAGCACACACTATATCAAGTCAATCGACCTCAAAGTAGTCTGGTGTCTGACCTTTTAATTTGAAGATCGAGAAAACATAACGAATACTATTTAAGGTACTCACAGATTTTCCAGCCCGAGAAACATTCCCTTTCTTCTCCGAATTTCCATAATAGCATCAATCGGTGGCCTGTATGGATATTTTCCCTCCGCACGATACACGGTTTGGAAGTCGACTGGATCCATAACATGAACAACAGGGCTCCTGTCGGTGACATGCTGTTTAAATATTGGGCCATACTGCTTGAATAGCTTGTCTGTTAATTTATAAATTTTGGTGAATCCTTCAGAAACGCGATAAAACCCTAACGCTGGTGTATATTTCCCTTGAGGTCCTGGGATATCATCAAACGGCAGCGATTCTATGTCGGTTTCAGAAGGAGTGATCTTGTTTGCTGCTTCAGCTCTCTGAAAGTGAACTTTCGCCAAAGATGAAATAGGAGAAAAGTTGCGCAAATGAGAACAAGGTACTCGTCCGAAAAAAGATGCTGTAGTGATCATCTCGGCCTGTCGTAATTAAACAGTGAACAATTTCCCAGAGAGCCTTATGATGTAATTTCTTCAAGAGGGGGTAAACGGGGTGCGGAGGGGTCAAAGGGGGTGTTTTCAAAGGCAATGTTTCATGCGTCATAGCGAATGGAGAAATATTGGGTTGTGTGTGTTTGTTTGTTTGTATGTAGCGTTGCAGTTGTGTCTTCCGTTGCAGTCATGTCTGCATAACTAATAACCAATAGGATGCGGACTTATTTCTTCTAATCAAAAGGCGTCGTGAACGTGTCTTCTGCCTGTCACTTCCCAACTAGGGGAGGGATGCAATGCAAAATTGTAAGAAGATCGTTAAGATTTCCGCGCTCGAAGGTTAAGAATTTCAGGTAAAACTACAGAATACAGGGCCACTTATTTACATCTCATGGAATCACAATGCATCCTTTTGTTTTCTGCCTCGTTATTCAAAGCATGCCGACAAGGTATGGGATTCACCTTGTCGGCATGCTATGAAGAACGACGCAGAAAATATTACAACCATTCCTCAAAGATCGCGTTCAAGTTTCGGGCTAAATACTGTAGGTTTCGTGAGCCTGCATGATAAAGCGTCCGAGTAACTACTAACCTGGAATCATTGAATCCTTCTGTGTCGAGGGGTGATTTTTTTTTTTTATTATTTTATTTTGCTTGGGACATGCAAAACTAGATGATACATAACTAAAAAACGAGACAGATCTCGGTGTTTCAATGACCGAAAATTTCTGATTTTCTTTCAGCCTCAATATAATTTATCATCAATGTTACATGTAGCAGTCTCAGTGTCTACATTGATAGTTATTATGGATACAATTGAAGACATGTATTCATTGTGTAACGTTGCTGGGAAACGAGGCTAGTCTCGTCCCACGACAAAAGGAGGGGAGCGGGAAAATCGGGTCGGCCATCTTGTTGTGTTGATATAGTGTCGCCATCGCTAATTGTATTAAAGGAGGTTTATTAAACGTTACAATTGTAATTGTATGGGACTACGCAAAAATTCATATTCTAGTAGGGTTGATGTCAAACATTACATATCCTGGAAAGTTGACTCATAAACCGCTAACACGTATGATGAAGGTCTGGTCTCTTGCGCTCCAGCAAGAAACAGTTGGGTAATACAATGCACTAAATCATTCTCTTTGCTTGCTCAGAAGGGGACAGATTTGCAGCAAAATTACTCTTCACTTAATAATATTTGCTTTTCCATGTAAATCAGAGTGGCTGACATATGCCACTTTTTTTCTTTTGATCTATTTAGAGTAAAGCTCTTTGAACTAAATCATAAGGAATATTGTGTATGTTACATGTTACCACACTTTACGTGCTTTTTCAACTGTGTAGTTCAAATATTGAAATGAAATAAATACTTATTCATGCACAAATGAAGACTTAATTCAGTACAAACTATTGCCTATTATTAACAGTTATTGGTCCTACATGTGTTAGCAAAAACTTGGTCTTGTTGGCTTTCATTGTGAGCGTTTGGTGATCCATATATTAGTGGAGACACTCTCTGCAACTATCTTTGCAAAGAAAATGCTAATCTTTTCATCCTTACTTAATTTCATTCATACAGGCATGGATGAGAACCAGCAGCAAAGCAAAGCAAAGTAAACAAAAGTGCCAGTGAGGTGGTAAGCTCCATTGTAAACATTAACCCCTGGGCAAATTATGCGTTATAAAAAGGAGTATGTTGTGTTTACAAAAGATGGTAAATTACTTCTCCAGTAAATCGAAGTGCTTGTTTATGCTTAAATCATGAATCATGGTGATGTAAACAAGTGCTACTTAACTTCACAGCACACGGTTACATTTTGCTCTACAGTTTTTTTTTTAATTCACCATGATTTCAATACATTCTCAGAAATAAGAGATCAGCCATTTGGGAAATTTCTGTCGGTCTGAATTTTTCTTTACTAGAAATTATGAAAAATCTGATTTTCAACCTTGAAAATGGGGGTCGATCTCTACACAGATAAATACGGTAATTAACTCCTTGGCCATCAGTTATTGCATTAAAGATTCTGTGTTAGAAATCACAGCACCATACCCCAAAATCTAATGTTGTCTTCAGCACAGTTTCAATTTTTGAGCAAGGCAAAGCTAAAAATCAATCAAGGGCCACACAGACATCATCACAGAGACAACATTGCACTGTATATAATGGTTATGTAGTCAAATATGTAAAAGCTACTCTATTCGTTAATTCAATGTCAATACTCTCCCTCATAGTTGCTATAATTTTTTGCCAACTTGGGAAATAGTGATCAAAAATGGACCCTTTTGGACATCCAAACTTTTAAGTCTCAAGGGGAAGGTTCCCCAGACTTTGCCATCCAAGCGGGAATAAATGGCTGCCACATTGTCATTTTGGTCCCTCCTAGCTGCTCAAATGTTGTCCCTCCTTTCCACAATCTTACCAAAGCCTCCATACGTGTAGTAATAAAAACATTGAAATGAACTTCAACCTCAACTTTCAACATTTTTCAACTTTATTGTAATCAGACATGACATGACACTTAACATAATGACACACTACCCACAAATACCAGAGTTAGTCTCGGCAGGCAGTGTGTGGACACTAAAACATCTTAAATAAATTTTGGCTCAACAAAAGATTCAATAAATATACAAGAAACAGAAATTAAATATTAAATCAGTAAAGCAGAAATGACAGTATAAGATAAAAATGCAGAAACAGAAACACATGACAGTAAATAGAAGAAAACATAAGTTATACACTACTATTAACTGAAGAGTGCTATCTCAGCAAGAGATGATAATCATGCACACTTTTAAGTGAGTCATCCTAGCAGATGTTTTGCGAGGTATTGCATTCTTTGCTCAAAATATAGTTCACATAGACCTGGGAAAAAAGAATGGGGTGTAGCAGTCATTCAGGTCGGTTAACTGCTCCAAGCTCTAACTTGATACCACTGCTTATTTGGTTATCTTTCTTGCCAATACTCTTTCTGGTTATTTGGGTTTTCTTGGAAACTCTTGCCATTGAGAAGAAGCAATATATGTGTTTACAAATTAAAAGCAAAGAAAAGTGAAAAATAAAACCAGTGAACAAGGCAGTTATGAATTACACACAACTTCAGATGAGGGTGTGGCATAGTGAAGTACTGTTGCATTTCATCTCTGAGAAGCAATCAAACCACTGTTTTCTCACTCATAACATTACTTAAAAATTAATAATCAGTGACTTAGATGTCAGGTATATCAAAGAATATTGGCACACTTCAATGGTTCATGTGCACATTCTAGGGTGAACGTTATTGCATCTCTAGTATGAACATTGGTGGTGATATTTTTGACAAAGGCCATCACTGGACGGCCATGTTTACGGATTTTGAAGGAAGGATTAAACCACAGAGGTTCAGGGCTAAACAGCTTTGTAAAATGTCGTATATTGATATTACTAAGTGATACATTTCTTACGTTTTGAAGAGCATATGATTAACATGGACTGGCTGGAACAAGAAATAGTTATGGAAGAACAGCTGGAAAGAGGAAGAGAAGAACAAAGAAAAAGGGTGGAGCAAACGAAAAGAGAGAAACAAAGAAGGGGGAGAAGAATATTTTTCCGACACATACCTCTACTTAAGTTATCCCTTTTAAAATTTTAAACCTATATATCTATATTAGTCAGTAATTCCTGTTTTTTCCAAATATGTGAAATCATGATCTCTTGGAAAACTACTCTATCAGGGATATAAATTTAATGTATATTGTTTCTTTTTTTTATTTTTAATTGAGCTCAATGATCTTGTTTAGGACAGCCATATTAGTAGTCAATGTGATCGGAAGACATTAAATATTTGGAAGAGAAACTTAAAACTTGTCCTTTGCTTACATAGATTTTTCTTTTGTGAAGCCCTACTAAGTGACTCTTGATGTCATGTTAAGTTCTCCTTCGGTCCCACAAGTAAACAGGCAGCACGTTGGAATGAGACGACAGTAGTTTATCCTAAGTCACCAAGGGCTTCTTTTGCAATGAACCCTTCATTTATTCTGTTACAATGTTTTATCTGGCGGTGAATAGTACCCGTGGGCCTCTACGTAGACGTTCACTTTGCATGTCAAGCAAAGAGAACGTCTTTGTATACAGCGACTTCTGAGAAATTTTCTCATTGCCTGAAAACATTTTTAACGGTAAGTTGACTTAAATTCCAAGGGTGTGAATAATATGTAGACCCTTTTCAACAATCAGAACATCACAGTGGTGAAACATAACACCAAAACTTGCAGACTGATAAATATTTTATGGGGAAGGCTACATTATCTTTTCCAGCAAAATAATCTCCTTAAACTAAGTGATATTTGTCGAATAATCCCAAGGCTTTGTGCAGGGGGTTCTACAAAGTACCGGCTAAAATTATTGACTATACCCGAGGATTGCCTTCCGACAACTACCCCCGACCCAACATTTTCTTACGCGAATTAAGGGTGCGCTTCCAGCGATCTAACTTACAACTGCAGTATATCTGTTTATCCCTATTTCTATGTTTTGAGTGCATTCGAAAATCAAAACAATTTCACAGCTCGTACCTTGCATGTGCAATACCTCCAAACTTGACATACCCATTATTAACCCCTTTTTCCATTTTTCATCGAATGTGGAAATTCTCGAAAAAAGGAAATAAATTCTGACAATTTATCCAGGAAGTAGAATATATCCTAACATGCCAAATCCAATCTTCACCCCAATTTTCCACTCTCTCAATGAACTCTAGGAACACGGGGTTAATTATGACAATTCATCCTACAAGTAATATCATAACTTTTCCATATCCAATCTTTACCCCGATTTGTTCAATTAACTGTAGAAAAACGGGAATCCTGACAATTCGAGTGGCTAACATCATGACTTACGAATTCATTCACAAGTAGCTAACACGCTAAGTTCCCATCTGCCATCTTTACCCCGATTTCCCATTTGATCCGCGAATTCGAGAAAAACGGGGTAAATTCTGAGCCTTCATGTTACAAGTGAATAACACCCGAGGTTCCCACATGCCCGAATTTCCAATTTTTTTTTCAGTGAATTTGACAAAAAACGGGGTAAAATACTGCTTGCGATCGGACAAATAAAATTGGAACCATAAATATGGCTTGCCAGTAAC